ATAATTTATACTGCCTTAATTTATTGGGAAGCTTTTTTTTACTGTTTAAGCCTTTCCCAGTTAAATTACTTTTTTGCTTTGTTGGAAGTGGTACTCTCCAGATGTCTTGGGATACAGCCGATTGGAGCTATTATTCAACACATCTGCAACATCACATTGTGGAAGGCTTTATTAACGTCCATCAAGTTTTATTCCCATTTATCAGAAGCTGGATCTGTGCATTTGATGTGTGTGTTAGGCACATCTGGGCACACAGCGCCAGAGAATAGCTACTCTTCCCTCCAGTAATAGTTTCTCTAGCTCATCAACATGTCTGAATCGGATTAAGTTGCAGCTGTTCTGTAATATACGAAACCTTGGCTCTATTGCATGACTGCACTTTTTTTTATTAAGTTTGAGAGAAAGGAAGCTATTATGTTCCATTTGCTAACACCCTGGTTCAAAAGACATTCCAGGCCTGGCTGTTTATTAGGGTTGGTCAGTCCTTTAGATTCAAAGGGAGAAACGTGATTTGGAGCACATGACAGACAACATTGTTTAGAATGTCTTAAACCAAATGGCTATTTTCCCAGGATTGTTTAACAGTTGTGGAGGTAGGAGCCCAGAAAAAGATGTAGTTGCTTTAAGGTATATCCAATAGGTACTCCATACAAACTACATATGCCCACAATCAAATTTCTCCCTACAAAACTGGAATCTCTATAGTTGTACTATTGACACACATTTTAAAAGAGTATAATTAAAAACAGACAAATAAAGAGATAAAACACATCAACATAAAATTTTATGAGTAACTCTCCAAGCAGATACCAAAGCTATGATTTTTTTTTGGTTTTATAGTTGAGGTGATAACCAACTGCAGTCAAGTTATCTTTGGTTCCTCTAAGCACTCTGTGTTTTCAGTGCAACTTTGAATGGAAATAACCCTACACAAAAGTTCTTGGGGGCAAATGAATTAATAATCTTGGAGTAGCACAATGCTCATTTTTTTGTACGGTATATTGAATCTAATCATAAGGATAAAATTATTTGTGTATTTCCAAGCTTGTCAGTTTCATATGTGTCAGTTCTTTCCTAAAAAATTATGCAAATTAGGAGTGTATAAAATGCATTCTGATGGTAGGTACTCTCTCTAATAACTTGCCCTTTAACAACACATGGGGCTTTGTTTAGAAGGCATTGCAAAATTTTGAGATGCTTTCATCTTGATGGCTATTCTGATCCATTTGTAGTCCAGCTGATTTCATTAAAAATACAGGTAGTCCTCAACTTATGACTACAATTGACCCCAAAATTTCTGTTGCTAAGTGAGACAATTGTTAAGTGAGTTTTGCCCCACCTTTCTTGCCACAGTTGTTAAGTGAATTGCTGCAGTTGTTAAATTAGTAACATGGTTCTTAAGTGAATCTAGCTACCCCATTGACTTTGCTTGTCAGAAGGTCTCAAAAGGCGATCACATGGCCCCGGAACACTGCAGCCGTCATAAATATGATCCAGTTGCCACATGAATTTTGATCACATGACCATGGGCATGCTGTAACAGTCGTAAGTGTGAAAAACGTTTTTCAGTCACTAATCAAACAGTTGTAAGTTGGGGACTACCTATATAACTTTTCTGTTATCCAAAGTTAAAGCAAAATTCTAAAATTATACATGGGGAAGTTGGACAGATTAAGGAAGGCTGGAAAGTCCTGAGGATGGAGCAACTGAGCCTGCAGTTAGCGGACAAATGAGTATAATATGCTGCACTGATAAAGCACTTCTGCATAGTGTAATTTAAGAAGATGAGTGGGATGGGAAATCAAATAATGATCATCAGTGTGAGAATAAGATATCACAAGGACAAAAGTGGTTCTCACAGCTATTTTATGCAATATAGGAGGAGACAGTAGCTGCGAGAGAATCCTCTCATTCCTCCACTGTTTCTGATTTTCCTTTGTAGGGCTAGATAAAAAGCAAGATATTTTGCTTTATAATGTATTACCGAGCTTTAAAAATATTATTTGGTGAAATGAGGCACTCCCTTACTGAACCCAAAATAAAATCAGATAACTAAGAAATAAAAAAGCTAAAATTGGAGTCTATTAAGGCCCATGAATGGTTCCAGGAGTTTGAAAGAAGAGTATTGGGTTGCCAGATGGTATCTGAGCTCTCAGCTTCCTGAGACAGCCAGTGTAATGTAGTGATTAAAGTGCCAGGCTAGAAACCAGAAGATTGTAAGTTCTAGTCCTACTTTGAGCATAAAGCCATCTGGGTGATCTCGGACCAGTCCCTCTTTCTCAGCCCTAGGAAGCAAGCAATTATAAACTGTCTCTGAAAAACATTTGCAAGAAAATGCATGGATTGTCCACACAATTTGCAAGAGTCAAGACTGACTTGAAGGCACAAAAAGAAAATAAAAAGATGACTGCTTCCTGGAGTCCCACTGTCACATTTCTGGGGCCATTTTGAAAAATATCTGCTAAGCTCCATCTGAATTCTATGCAAGATGGAAAGAGGCTTTTGGGAATCTGCCAACTTTTGCATGCATTCAGCTTCCCCTTTGTGATATATAGCTAGTAACTGGAAGATAACATTTTAAAAAAAACAACAATGGTGTAAACCTGAACTAACCTGTGTTTTTTCCCTAGCTATGGTTTTAAACAATTAAACAGCCCTTTGTCCTGGGCTACCGTTTTACAGGAAATGTGTGAAGAATGGATGGGGCCCCACTGCTGGATTTCTGAAAATACTGGGATATTATACTTCAATGTCAGAAATCAATCTTTTGAATCTTTTGAATTTTATCAGTAACTGTACTAGAAATTCAGATGTTGCAAGCCTTGGAAAGAATTGATGTTTAATAAAAAGCAGCCTGTTTTTCACTTGCTGTGGAGTTACTTCCTCTCCAGAAATGGCACAATGTAAAAAAACACGGGAGTATTAATCACCCGCTGTTTTCACACAGAAGTCACTTTGGTTAACTTCTGCAATTCCGTTGGTATCTAAATGTTTTGCTTATTTTTAATTTGCCAAGCCAAGCAGAGTGCAAAGAACAAGACTGCTGGACTGAATTAAATCGCACTAAAACAAACCAGTTAGAGAGATAATTTCACTCAGTGCCTGTCACTTCTTCTCCTGCTCCTCCCTTGTGCAATCATGCTGTTTCCCAAATGGTTAAAAAATACCATGATGGGACTCTTAGAATAGCAATTTCAGCTTTAAGTATCTTGCCCTTCCTCAGAATTGTTTTTCATCACCTCATCATGCCAACCCAAATGTGGAGGCTCACTTTTTCCAATTGTTCATCTGCTATTTATCAATAGCCTCCTTCCTTATAAATGCCACATGTTGTAGGGATGATTCAGACACCTGTCAGTTCAGCTTCCATAGGATCAAACTTCAACCCCTGCCTCAAAAAAAGAAAAGAAAAAGCAAATTTGTCATGATAATATGTATAGTTTATTAAATAAAAATAAATAAAAGCAACATTCATTTATTTAAATAATCAAAAGTCAATAAAAATATGTTTAAAAATTGCAGATTGTTTATCTCACATAAGCTCAATATATTTTAGAGTGGTTATAAAGACAAATGCTATCCTGTTTCTATGAGCAGTAAAGTTTGAGATTAGGGCTTCCAATTGCATTGATGATTCATGCAATCCTTGAATTAGGAGGAGCACACAAATGGACAACTTTAACTTTTTTTAAAAAAAGTGTAGTGGCAGATGATGACAATCTTGGCTGCTTGCATGTTTTTCAAATGGGAAAGCTGTTAAATACACATGATCATTGTAACTCATGCAGCAAAAAAAGTGGAGTGTACTTTGTGATCTTGTACAACAGGCCGTATAAAAAAGCTTGGAGATAACTAGATTGCCAAGGAGTGTGTCATATACGTTTTAACTTGGATTTGTAACTTATAAGTTTCTTTTCGCTTATTTATAAAGTATTTAAAAAAAGAATTTTATTTTAATTGGATCACTATGTTTTGAGTCCCGAGCTTTATAGAGGAAGTTACTACATATCCCACAATTGCCACCATTTACAATTTGTTTCATTATCACATCATTATTATTTTAGTAAAATTTCTAACTCCTGGGGCTAGCTATATTGAAATGTTCTGTGTTTGTGACAACTTTGTGAGGTAAATGAGCCGTGGTGGTGCAGTGGTTAGAATGCAGTACTGCAGGCTATTTCTGCTGACTGCAAGCTGCCTGCAGTTCAGCAGTTCAATCCTCACCAGGCTCAAGGTTGACTCAGCCTTCCATCCTTCCGAGGTCAGTAAAATGAGGAGACAAATTGTTGGGGGCAATATGGTCTGTAAACCAGTTAGAGAGGGTTGTAAAGCACTAGGAAGCGGTATATAAGTCTAATTGCTATTGCTAAATCATTGTTCTCATTTTAAGATGTATAAAAATATAAGATTGTGGAATCTGTTTGTAAAATGCAATTGAACAAAATGCAAAGTAAGCTGCTTTAGGTTTTACGTTTTATCCATTGGATCTATTTTTTCCTATATCGCATACATAGAGAAACTACGACCTTCCAGAAGTTGTCAGAAATCATCTAAATTGTAAAATTATAAGTCATGCTGATGGGCTAATAGAATTTGGGAGTTCAAAAACACCCCAGGTATATATTTGTTAAATTGGCCCTTTAAAATATTTATACTGACATAGTACCCCCCAAAATTTATTTTCAATACTCCCTCCCCTCAGATACTGGATTTTTCTTGAGGAATGCCCCTGACTCATTCTTTTCTCAGAGGTCTAGACTATATTGTTTTCCATTTGTAATCCTGTACTTTGCCAATATTTCACTTTTTTTTTCTTTCTTGCCAAGAAGACGTTAGAAAGAAAAAGACAAAATAGCTGCACTATCTTTTGACGTGGCTTTAGGAGCCATCTGTCAAGAGACCCTCTATTTCTGCTAAGGATGGGGGGAAACCCTATCCTGCTCTTCATCTTTTCAATTCTGAGAGGGGAAAAGAGCTGCTTTTGTCATTATACCCTACAGGTTCGTGTGGACAATCCAGATGAGGCCCATCTTTATGAGTCTGTGCCAGTGATGCCTGGAGAGCCTGTGCTGCGTGATATGGTCCTGAGTCCTGACCAGCGCTACCTCTATTTGCTCAGCCAGAGACAGGTCAGCCTAAGTGAGATGGGACAGGCAGCAGCTTCTGTTGTACCTTAGCTAGGAAGGAGAAAAATAAGCCACTGGTGGGAACTTGGTTGAAGACAGGTCATCTTGAGGAAAGTCTATCTATGTGGTCACTAGACCTAACTTGATGGCACTTAATCAGGAACTTTGACTCTCCATGTATTCAGTATTGGAATTTCAGCTCCCATCAAACTCAACCAGTGTAGCATCTGGCAGGGAGAGAGAATTGTAGTTCAGACCAACTAGTGACAACTGGCTTACCTGTTCTGGCGGAGAGGGCTGCTTTTTTTTTGTTCATTGATTGATTGACTGATTGATTGCTGGTTGGCTGGCTGCCAGGTTTTGTTCCAGGAGCAGAAGACAGAGAAGGCTTGCAAAGAAATATTTTCTTTAGAGAGATTCCTGAATGACTTTTTGCATGGAAAGCAGGTTTTAAATCCTACCACTAATTATGTTGTCTAATAATAATATTATCAATACTATTGTTAGACAACATCATTAGTGGTAGGATTTCTGCTCTACCTTTCCATGCCGAAAAGACATTCAGGATATCTATTTATGTCTTTTACATATAGATATAATTGCATTTTTAGAAAATCCATATCTATGTAAATAATGGCATTTTTAAAATTATTTATTGCTCCCGGCCTTTTTAAACTTTTTGCTCTTTCAGCAGATTTATATCTACCTTAGAAGAGTTAAAGCTTCATTTCAGTATCTTTTTATTTTTTAATAGCTGCATCGCAACCCAAATGAGTTTAAGCTTTAGGGAAGTGTATGCTTTACATCAGCAATAGAAACTGGGGCAAGATAACTGTGCATACATTTCAATGTGTTTAAAATGTGAAAACGAAGAGTGACTGTGAAGATTATTTCATTTTTCTAAGGGGAGTGGGAAAATCCTTTCCACACTGCTATGGCCAATTAAGGTCAGGAGCATAAGATAAGGTGCCCTGGGCAGGACTGGTACACCAATGAGATCTCTTCTCAATAGACAAGATTCCTATAAATGTAAGGAGTGAGGGATGCTGTGAAAGTTGTATTTTCTTTACTGTGAACAAATTATCCAAAGAGCAAAATGCAAAGAATGTATAAAATGCAGACGCTGCATTTGAAGAAAGGTTGAGGAAGACTAGCAAATGTGAGACCGAGGGCTGCTGAGTCGATATGTATTTGCAATCTGTTTTCCTAGGATAAACAGATCTAAGCTGTAAAAATCTGGATAACGGCAGGGAAGGGAGACAGGGATAGAGAAAACCCCTTATTCTTTCCTGCCACATTTTTACGATTTCACACCTGCAGCCCAGGCAAGAATTCAACAAGTGCCTTTCTGTATGACACAAACCTGTTTCCGCTTCCTTCATTTTGACTCTTTTATGTTGGGGCACCATTCCCTAGCGCAGGGGTAGGCAACCTTGGCTCTTTTATGACTCGTGGACTTCAACTCTCAGAATTCCTGAGCCAGCATGGCTCAGCTTGGAAACCTCTCCCTTTTCCCCAGCATGGCTGGCTCAGGAATTCTGGGAGTTGAAGTCCCCGAGTCATAAAAGAGCCAAGGTTGCCTACCCCTGCCCTAGCCCAATATACCTGGAGGGTGCCGGGCTAGTGAAGACTGTGGGGAAACTCCAAAGTGGATGAATGGACATGGGACGTGGGGGGAAAGGTTTTCAGATGTATATTGATACAGACCTTCCCTCAGGTGGTGCAGCTTCCTGTGGAGAATTGTGGACAGTATCTTTCCTGTGTCGATTGCTTGGGCTCCCGAGACCCACACTGTGGCTGGTGTGTCCTGCACAATAGGTGAGAGATGACCCTCCTTTCTACCTTCAACTATGCAGGCTGGGAGGGAGAACTCTTGATCTGCCATTCCTATCCACCCCCACCCACCCCATTCTTCTTGTGCTTTCACCCAAGTCTGGGGGCATAGCAGGGAGGAGACAGCCAGTTGCACTCTTTCTTCTCCCCTGCCCCCTTTATCTGAACCCTGCAGGAGCTTTAATCCTATTAAAGCTGCCAGCACTCAGCTGACTAGGCGGGAAGAGTAAAAGGAGGTTGGTGGTGCAGACAAGGGGCCTGAAGCTCTCCTTCCCCAACCTGGAAGGAGAAGGAAGGTTTTCTCCTTCTTTCTGCTCCCCCCCCCACCCCCAGCAATCAGTTGCTGGATGTGGCATCGCCAAGGATGAGGAAGATGTTTCTCTGCTCCCTTCTGAAGGAAAGTTGGTGCTTGCTTCCTGCACCAATGTTGTCTTGCATGTTGGGGTCCTGCCCCATGGAGGGGGCAGTGCATAACATGGGGTGGGAGGGAGAAACAAGAGGCTGAGACGAAAGAGAGAAAAAAATTAACCTTTTCCCCTTCCCTGCAGTAGCCCCCTCTCTCCCAGCAGATGTTTTTCTCGGTTGCTTCCCACCCTCCATCTCCTCTCCCTGTCTCAACACCTGGTGCTGCAGCTTGCACTTCCTTAATATAGACTATGTGATAACACCTAGAATGGGGGGGGGGCTGAAAGCAGAGGTGACACTTCTCCCCCCAAGCAATGGCGCAGTGGGGAGAAGGAGCAGGAAGCGTACAAAAAGTGAGAAGTGCCTCCCATCCTCAGCCAAAGTGTTTCCACTTGTTTGCAGGCCGTGGACTTTCAACCATCCTTTCCTATGCCAAGCCCAGATCTCATTCCATCCAGGATGATCTCTCTGATATTATCCCTTTATTGGGATGTGTGTGTGTGTGTGTGTGTGTGTGTGTGTGTGAGAGAGAGAGAGAGAGAGGGGGGGGGGAGGAAGGGAGGGAGGGGGGATTAGGATTATTATCTTGCTGCCCTTCCCTACTCCACCCTGCTTGCAAATGTATGGTTGCTGTCATCCTTTCTCCAGGCAGGCGCCTCCCCCAGATCCCTAAGCGTCCTTGGTTCCTTCTTTCCTTAACAAGCCTCCAGGGCCCCTGAGCGGAAGCAGCAGGTCTGCATCACAAGTCCCCCAAGCTAACTTCCCTCCCTCATCCCCTGGTGGGTGCACTCTCACATGCTTAAATTACTGACCCTTGCTTTTATTACCCCCTCCCTTTTGATCTCAGTTCTGCCAACTTTCCCACACAAGATATCTTTCCTATGCCTGGATTTAGTTATTAGTTGGGCTGCCAGTGGAGATCTCTGTCTCATGGTCCCTGCTCTGACCCGCAACCAGGAGCTTTTGCATCCCACTAAAAACGGAAGGAGAAGGTGTTAAGAGGAACAAACAAAGGTGCAAGGTTGTGCAGACGTCTCTCATTTTGCTCCCTACCCCTTTTGGTTTCTGTGCCTCAGGTGCTGTAGAGAAAGCGATTGCCCCCGTGCTGCAGAACCACACCGCTTTACAGCAACTCTGACACAATGTGTGCAGTTGCAGGTTGAGCCCAGTAATATCTCAGTGACAGAACCTAGTATTGTGGTGAGTCTCTGCTCCCTCCTGCTGGCCTTATTGAACATCTGGCTCCCCCAATCCTGCTGGCTAATTGTTCTTTATCTCCTTTTTGTTTTCTCTAACTGTACTTTCTCTCTGTTATTGGTCTCTTTGTCTTCCCTGTTCTTAGTCAACTGAGCCTCAACATTTTGAGGTCAACTACCACTCCGAGAGGGGAAAATTTGACCCCAAACATGATCTATAAACAAAATAGACTGTATTAGGAGAGAGGATAGCTAAGCACTTTTTTAAAGTGAATTTTGGAAGACCATGACCTCTGATCCTACTCCATATCAGCAAGTTAATAAAGAAATAACTCTTTTTTTGGACATACACATCCTATAAGAAAGTCAATCATTCAGTGTGAATATAGAATTTTACACTCATTTTGGAACTGAATTGGGATATCATTATATCGCTTGGCGCTCTTTTTCAATTGGGTGTATTCAAATTAGTAAATTATTATGGACGACTGTAAACATTATATTCTGTCGACTCATGGACGATGGGGTTATATTTTGAAGATGCCGTGAAAAGTCACTCATTAACTTCAGAGGATCTTTGATTAGGGATAAGATTTCTTATGTCTTACCAACTACCTTGAGTGTAGAATCCTTTGGGAAACAAGAGTAATTGGTTTAGTGCTCTAAATTGTATTTATGTAGGTAATTACTGTTCTTCTTCAAGGTCATTCCCAACCTTGATATTAGCTACTAAAAGCAGAGCAGAGGATAGCTTTGATCTATGCCTCTGCTATGTCCATGGTAGGGATAGATAGACCCTCTGATTTAGGGGAGAAAAACATGTGGCCTTCCAGCTATTGTTGGACTGCAACTAATCACCTCTCATTACTAACTATGCTAGCTGGGGCTGATAAGAATTGACATATAGCAATACAGGAGTGCTGCCTGTCTATCACTGCTCTAGATGTTGCTGAACAACAATTCCCAAGGGCCCTCTCCACATACGGCCATTGGTGAGGGATGCTGGGTGTTGCAACTCAGAGCATCTGGAAGGTCACAAGATCCTCCCTAGGCAAACACACCCATAATGATGAGTAAGCCTTGCCTGAATAATGTGATATTCATCATACCATTCAGCTTTGTAAGAATAGCCATTTTCCTTTGCTTTGTGTTATTGTTGCTGTTTTTTTTAAAGTAACTGTTCAGCTTTATGATTGCCAAGGTATGCTTGGATAATGCCTGGTAGGAATTCAGAAGCCAGATAAACTGCTGAGTAAAATTTCCAGTGGTCAGAGATCAGGGTTTCAGTGTTCTGTGTGGCTTTTTGTTTCCTATTCATCTACCATGGCTATTGCAAAATAGGAAAAATGCAGATTAAATCAGATTAGCCATGATCATTGTATCTGTGTCACTCCATTTAGGCTACTGTATGTCATAAAACTTGAGAAGTGTCTTATATTTATGTATATATAGCACACGTTATGATTTCCCTTCTTTTGACATAATTCTCAAACATACCAGTCCATCTAATGGCATCATTCTTCTGTGCTATGTTTCCAGCTTCAGCTTACAGTCCACAATGTCCCAGACCTGAGTGCTGGTGTCACTTGCTCCTTTGAGGGCCTTGGGGAGAGCGAGGGACAGCTTCAGGTAGATGGAGGGATCCACTGCCTTTCACCTACTTTGAGGGATGAGCCCCCTGGAGAATATGGTAAGTGCTTGATGACGGGAGGGGAAGCAATCGCATAGTATTCAGAAGGGACAGAGTTAGAAAGCAAGGTAGAGTCCACCTTTCTGTCCTTACCTTGCCTCTGCCAGAAACTTCTTGATGGCTTCAAAGAAATTCTCCGTAGTCCTGATCCTCTCAAAACAAGCCTAAAGTTGTATGTAATTTTTTTTTTAAAAAAGCAGATGACAATGCTCAAGATGGAGTTAGAATTGTAAGTCAAATGGCATTTTGTCAAGAGATTATTGGATTGCTACTTTTTGCCTTCTGCTTTTCATGCTGCTCCCATGGTCATTAACCAGATTAGTTGTCACTTTATGATGCTGGGTTTTTGCATGGTTATAACTGACATGTTGAAACAGTGGTAAATAAATGGTTCTTTCTCTTCCGTAAAACTATGCTGATAAGGGATCATGGAATTCTAATTTTACTTAATGATTCTGAATATGGAAGCAGAAGTTGATTGTGTCGGAATTCAAGAATGTGGCCTTGTAAACACACTATGATTGATGCTACTTGCTCTTCCTTCTTTCCCTTCTTTCCTGTTTCCCTATGACTGTCTCAGGTGACGTACGAACTGTTAGGATCCAACTTCTGTCCAAGGAAACTGGCATGGAATTTGCCAGTACAAACTTTGTATTTTATGATTGCAGCCTTCTACGCACGTGAGTTTTGAAACTGGGCACAGGCTGTAAGTGGGGGAAGGGGAATGACTTTCAATCTCCCATCAGTTTATTCACATATAAGATGTGTGACCCACACATTATTGTTTACAACTGTTACAAAATAAGCAGTGATGGGATTCAGATATGTGAACAACTGGTTCTCTGTGTAGATGCCGCTTCCGGAAGTCCATTCTGGGCCTGGGCAATGAAAAATTAACTACTGGTTCTGGCGAAGTAGTGCGGACCGGCTGAATCCCACCACTAAAAATAAGGCTTAATCTCAGCTTTCAACAACAAAATCTTTTTCACGTTTACACTTTGCTCATAGTTAAAATATGCAAACTTGGTTTACTTACTGATTTACTGTCATGCTTTCTTCCCATAAAAAATAACCCCTAATCAGGATTTCATTAATTCAAAACAAACAACATACAATTGACAGTTAATTAAATTTCATTCTAACAAAAATGAATCAAAATCCCTATAAAAGAGTATATTAAAAATTGACGGTCACTCATACACCCTCCCCTACCCGATAGCAGCCACGTATCTGCCTACTGGCCTGTTTGGGAGCTGCCTGGGATTTGGGACTTCCTACTAGCTTACTCATTTGGCTTATTAGAAGCAGACAGGAAGTTGCAAGGAGGTCCTTACTTAGCGACTCACGACACACAATCCTGGCTTAATGATGGCAACAGGGAGTGCCAGGGTAGCTTTCAATAAGCGATGCAGTCATTTGAAAATATACTTTACGACTGCATTACTTAGCAATGGAATTTCTGACCCCAATTTCCATTGTATCATTAGCATGAAAGACATTACCAAACTATATGAGGAAGACAGATCTTATCCTTAAGGTAAGAAATGCAGCAAGCTTGAAAGGATAGGTTTCATCTGAAATAGAAACAGTGACATGTTCACACACTGTTGCACTAAAACGTGATTTTGTTTATTGCAATTTGAGTGCAACATGCAGCATACTAAGCCATCATTAAACAAACTTCACAATTGCTTAAGGTGATGTGATTATCCAGCCACAGAATGGTTTAGGATAGTTAGCTTCCCCCTTGTAAATAGATGTTCAGATTATTTGGTATTCTGAGTATATACCATACCATGTGCACCAGAAGAATCTGATCATCATCAGAAGCAAAGGGACAAGTTGTGCACCTAGATTTTCAAGTCTGGCACCAGCTGTGATCCCAGGGCAAGTGGCAATGGTGGAAATTGTCATCCTGGAACCCTATTGACTTTCAGCAGCAAATTGTTGCAGATAACCAGATGTAAGACCCTGGAGTTGAAGCTGAAGCAGCTGAGTTTCTTGCTGTTGTATTGGCCTCAATGTTGTACCATGACATCCCTGCCTGAATTGTGAAATTAGCAGTGGAGAGCTAGTTCTGGGAGATTTTAACTTGATTTGAGCTGGAGATGGCTTGGGAGTTCACTCCAGTATAACAACCACGGATCTGACCCAGAATATTTAGGAACTAATAAAAGCAGGTGGCCACATACTAGGACTGATGAGAAATAGTTTTCCAGGGAACCCTAGGAGTTAAAATGGCAGAAGAGATGCTTAGAATGCCATTGGAGGAAGGTGAAGAGCAAATCTGATTGCACATGAATGAGAGACCATTTTAAGGATTATATCATGGTAATAAGAGCCACAAAGTGTAACTATTTTTCCACTTTTACTATGTTCACAAATAGCTGAGCAGTGGCCCTTTTCAGAATGACCTATTCTCTGCTGGGAAGGGATGAGCAAGAAAAACATTTTCGGGGCCACTGGGAGAAATATTCCAGGTATCTGACAGATAAAATCATTTGTAGTTGGACTCTGACTGTACCTGACCTATTTGCTTGCTGTGGCAAATCGAATAATTATGGAAGTATAAATAACAGATTCAATAATTCCTCTGGAAAACTGTATCAACAGCTCCTGGGCCACTCTGAACTTCCTGAGTTGAAGCAGGAAAAACATTGTTTGTTGTGCCTTTTTAATGATGGTTCTAATGTTAAGCACCATTTTAAGTCCTGGGAGTTTATAGAACCCCAAAACATGAAGGACTCTATTGCTGATACTGTGCTGTTGAATATAGTAAAAGGAGGTAAAATAGGAGGGCTCCTCCTAAAATCCACTCTCATCTCTACAGTTTGAAGCATGTTCAGCTCCAGATTGTTACGGTTGCATCACAGGGCCATTTGTTCAACCTCTCATCTATATGCAGACTCATCACTGTCTCGAATGAGGCCAATGACCGTTGATGTTGTGGTTGTTCTCTTTTCTCTTGGCTGGTTTCAATAAGTATTGCCTGGAAAGAAGAAGCTGAAACCTCTTGATTTGTAGAGTGCCACAGGGCTCAATGCTTTCACCCTTCCTGTTTAATAACTACATGAAGTCACTGTGTGAGTCATTTGTTGACATGGGATCAGTTATCATTAGTGTGTGATGATACCCAGCTGGTTCTCAAGTCTTAGCTAACCAAATGATGCTATTGAAGATCTTGTCCCATTGCCCCGAGGCTATTAAGGTCCAGATGGGGAGGAATGGACTTATGCTTGTCCCTAGCAATTCTGAGTGCTAATGGGTTCATGGACCATCCTAGCCTGAAGACTTCCTATTTTTAACTTTGAATGGGTTCACTTCCACATTTAGAACTGGTGTGCAGTTTGGGGGTTCTCCTGGACTTGCAGATTGAGGAGATGGCAACTGTAGCCAAGAACACCTTCACACAGATTCATCTCATCTATTAATTGTACCCATTCTTGGACCTGGAGCACCTTCTCATTGTCACTTGTGCTTTGGTCAACTTATATGTGGACTATGCAATGTCCTGTACATGCAACTGACCTTGAAGACCACTCATAACCTTTTGCTGGTGGAGAACATAGTAGAACAAGCAATTATGTGTGTGCCACAGTATGCCTGCGTAACACCTTTGCTCTGCAAGCTGCATCATTAGTAGGCTTCCAAGTGCAATTCAAGATGTTAGTTGTCATCTACAAAGCCCTACATGACAAAGAGACTATTTATTTGAAGGGTTTACTCTCCCATTGTTTCTGCCTATCCCATAAGCTCGGACTGAATCAGTATGCTCTGGGTCCCTTCCATTAATCATTGTCATCTGATAAGATCTAGGAAGTTTACTTTCTCCGTTGAGCCCATCTTCAGAAGCAGTATTCGCTTAGAGTAGTATTTCTCAGAGTTGAATTCCACCTATTTTAACAATGCCAAGGTTGAGAAATCCTGCCCCAGAAAGCTGAATAGTCCCGACTCTGCTCTGCTTTAGACATGTTCTGATCTGGCGTTTTTCCCAGACTCTCATCTGAGATGGAAAGAGGGCTGCTTCTGTGAAAAATTCTTTATAGGCATTTAGTGGATGTTTGCTCCCCTGGACAGCCATCTTACATTTCTGTCTGACTTGATGTTTTGCACCACTCAAGATTTGTTAATGAATTGGGAGGCCTTAGAAATATAAACAATTAATCAATTAAATCCTTGCCCCTGGGAGATTGCAATTCCATTTATTTACTTGGGGGAAGTTTGGAAGAAGAAGAAGTCCCAGAATAAGTCATCAGTGTTGGAGGCCTGACCCAGCCCTAAAGGTGGCTGGACTTGGGAACGTTTTTTTTTTTTACTAGGACTTGCAACCTAGATTAGTTGGCAAGGCTTTTTTCAAGCCACAGGCCACGACTGCTTGAGCCAGACTTACAATTCTTCTGATTGGAAACAAGATCTGAAGTATCTGCACAACCTTCCAGCTTTGCTGCCCTACATTTCCCCCTCAGAGCATGATGTACTTTTCCCTCACTGTTTCGTAAAGTGGGAAATGCCCACACATCTTGTGGACCTCTTCCTCTCTCAGTTCTGGGACTCTCCTAGCTTACACCAACTAGTCAGTAGGTGGCTGTAGTTTAGGTTTGTCTTCCTCTCTGTGGCTTGTCTCTGCAATAAGCAGATGGGTAGGACAGGATTTGTAAATCCGATTCAAACAGTGTTTCACCTCCCCCCCCCCCTTAAGCAGAACAAAACCTTCAGGGAACAGAGGTGCAGGAAACAAGGAGAGAGAATCGGCATCTGTAGATCAGGGTGTGCATTCCTTCCCCCTTTACTGTTTTTTTTTTAAACTTTCCTCATTCTACAGGTGCTTGTCCTGTGTCAGCAGCCACTATCCATGCCACTGGTGTAAATACAGGCATACATGTACCCACAATGTGGCCAAGTGCTTCTTCCTAGAGGGCCGAGTCAACACTGCTGAGGTAAGAAAGGCCACTGGAGTGCTACCATCTCAAGAGAGTTCCCTGCCAGCCATTAGGATGATTTTTGGACCTGAACACTCTCTGTACTCTGTGCCTTTTCATCTTTCGTTTGTGAAACCTTCACCACTGGAGAAATCAATGGCAGTTTTATTCCCCTGCTGACCTACAGGCAGAGGGAGCCGGGAGAGAGATTTCCCCATATGCCTTGAATCTACCCCTTTTCCCAGCTTAACTTTCTTCCTTGCATTTTCAAGAGCTCCCTGTTTCTGCATAACGGCAGAAATAGCTGTAGTATTTTATAGTTTGCTCTTCCAGCATTGGAGTGAACATTTGGGAGCCAAATTTCCATTTCCATGTTAATGTAAGTTGTGCAACCGCTTGCATACATTTAACTGGCATATTTTTTTCACAGTGTCTTTGCCATATTTTGACCCTGTACAGAGCTCAAATTGCTTTGTTGAGCACCATATAGGGTACAAAGGCAGAAAAAGCGCAAGTGTAGGGTTGGACAAGAAATAAGAATAATGAAAAGGAAACATTTAAGCTACGGTATAACAGTTCTCCTTTTCCTCTAAAAGTCTGTCTCCCAACTCTGGCAACATCACAATATGTTATTATAACAATGAGTTCTAGAAACTTGGTTCCGGTTGCAGACTGAAAAGGAAAGATTTCTGGAAGTCACATATTTAAGTTTAGCCTTGTGCGCAGCGTCCCCCACAGGCCTTGTATAGAAGGAATCTCGGACCAGGGAATCCCAAGCAATCAAAAAAGAGTCAACATGGGGAAATGATAATAGTACTAAAGTGCCTTTATTGGGGTGGGAGGCTGGATCGATATGGGGGAGGCCAGAGTGTTTGCTGGTAATGGGGCCAGTGGCTCACGATCAATCGTCTGGCCCAGGCAGCGGGATCAATAGACCTAGAGACGCCCGGGGGCTCATTGTGGGTAGGTAATTGATAGCAGCTCCCTTGGAGGGGCCAGCGTTTGCGGTTGGATGTGGTGGCTGGGGTGGGAGGAGGCTGGACAGAAGGCTTTGAGTCTCTGAGAAGTGAAGTGTTGCCTGTGACTCTTAGGTTAGGGAGCACTGGCAAAACTGTTGTGCTCTGGACTTCTAGATCAGTCTGTGTGGACTATGTTTTCAGTCTAAAGAATGAAAGAGCTAGAAGGGAAAATTGCTTGGCGCTTCCAGGCTCTTCTTCCCACAGGCTGGGCCTTTTGTCTTGACCCCATTGTCTTAAGCCTCCGTAGGAAGTTGCACCCGGGGTTTAATTGTTCTCCAGATCAGCACTATGTTTCCTGTATTGCTTGCCAGCGTCATGGCCACCCTGTGTCTTTGCTAGCCCTGTAAACAGAGCAGCCAGCCCAGCATGCCTCCCCCGCCCTACCTTTCCTTTGGTACCAAGGAGCAATTAACCAGACTCTGGTTTCCATGGAAACTCTGAGCGCCCAGCAGGCTCTTTCATCTCCATCTCTCTCAGGCGGCCACCACAGGCAAAGGAGGAGCCGGGAGCCAGACTCCTGGGCTTTACCCCTGTTCAGTGTGGAGCTGTTGGGATGTGAAAGGTTAGGCAGCTGTTTCCCTCTGGGGTAGAAGGAACCTCAGTCCCCAGGAGGGACAGACTTGTTTCCTATCCCCAAGAATGATTATAGGTGTCTTCACATAGGAACCCAAATGACAGTCCTAAAAAAAAAAAAAAAAAAGGAAAGCAATATCACTTTACTCACTGTACTTCTTTCTGGTAAGCACGGGCAGGATCAGACTGTTTTTGTTTTTTAAGTGTTTCATGTTCCCTGTATGGCTAATTTGAAAGCAGTGCTGGCCTCAGTTTGTGTTTAGAAATGTTCCCCTTTGCAACAATATCAAAGAAATAGTCATGAATATTCTTGAGAATATTCATGTCATAAATAAACAAACAAAGCACACAGGCTGCCTGCAAACAGCACAAGTGGCACTTGCCAGAGCTTTCAGGTTTCTGAGCACATGGCTTGCATCTTTTCATTCGCACCAGGGCTGCCCAGAGCTCCTTGCTGGTGGGGAGATCTTGATTCCTGTGGGAGTGTTACAACCCATTACCCTGCGTGCCAAGAACCTTCCACAACCTCAGTCAGGCCAGAAGAATTATGAATGTGTCTTGGGAATCCAAGGTCGCCAACAGCGGGTGCCAGCTGTACGCTTCAACTCCAGCAGCGTACAGTGCCAGAATACCTCGGTGAGAATCATATCTTTTATAGCCATATTTTTATTCCTCTTACTGTTCTGCAACCTGGAGGACTGAGAACTTCCTGGAAAAAGAATACAGCTCCTCAGCTTTCTGCAGGTACAAAGTCTTCCTTTTATGTCAACTTGCCAATGAATTACAGGTTTTTTTAAAACTTTTTTGAACATCTGTAGAGTTACTTGTGTATATTAAGGGTAGCCCCCAGAATTTGTAAGCAAATCGCAGTTCATAGTAACACGTTGGTTGCAGTGTTGGGTTCAGTTTGAGCCATGGACTTGCTCAGATCGTTACTAGTTGTCTACCTGTAATATGGGAATGCTGACCTAGATTATAGTTTTTCTAAATGTAAGAATTTATTGAAATATTTGGTACTCTCAATAATAAATTCCTGTGTGGTTCCATAAAAGAGTTACCACATGACTAGATTTGAAGAAGCTGGGTTTTTTTAACTGATGTTCCCTGATTCCTTGACCCTTGCAACATTTACTTTGATTTTTTTTTATCTAATCGTTTTCTAGCCCATTTTCCAGGATTATGTTCCTTTTGCATAACTGAAAAAACCAGAATGCAGAGAGTTGTCAAATCAGTCTGCAGCTCATGCTTATCTAAATAAATACCTAGTGCGGTGTGAAACCTTGATTGAACACACTATGTGCAGAACATAACTAAATGCAGACTGGAATTAATAACAGTCTAAAAGGATCAAAGAAGCCATTTGTTCACCCCAAAAGAGAATCTTTACTTTTGTTGCTTGTCAGGGTCTCGGAGCCCTCATTGTGAATGAGAAAATGGGACCTTTGCCTGGCTTGCTCTTAAGGCCACACAAAGGGCATTTGGGGGGGGGGTCCACATGTGGCCCACTAGTTGTACAAAAATACTATGGGCAATACTAAGTGCTCTATATTCTGTTCTTTATGAGGATAAGGCTTCAGTGGCTATACAGATAGTCCTCGACTTACGGCTTATGATCACAACTGGGACCAGAATTTCTGTTGCTAAGCCAGACAGTTGTTAAAGGAGTCATGCCCCATTTTATGAACTTTCTTAAGTTCATAAGTTCATGGTTGTTAAGCAAATCACTGTCATTGTTAAGTTAATCATGCAGTCATTAAGCAAATCTGCTTTCCCCTATTGACTTTGTTGTTGAAAAGCCAGCTGGGAAGGTTGCAAATGGCTATCCCCATGACCTCAGGACACTGTTGTAAATATATGCTGGTTATCAAGCAACTCAGTTTTGACTAGGGGACTGTACGGATGCTATGAGAGTCAGAAGTGCAAGGACCGGCTGTAAGTCACTTGTTTCAGTGCTGTTGTAACTTTGAAGAGTCACTCAACAAATGGTTGTAAGTTGAGAATTACCTGCCAGCCATGGCAGCTGCTTGTAATTATTTCCAGTAAGAAGTAGAAGCTGCCAAGAACAGTTGGTTGAGGAAATGGCACAAAGTATACATTGCTTTGCAGGAGCATCTGGTTCAACTCTAGTATAGGAACAAAATTTTGAACCAGATAAGCCTTCATCATAACTCTTTTTTCATTATTACGACCATCTTGGGACAAGATCATAATGGTGCAAATTAATTTGTCAATTTGTTGGTAGCAGTGGTTAAAAAAATATTTTGGCATTAAGAAGACTGAAAGGGACAGAAGATTAATAGCACTGCAATAACTGTTGATTTATCCAAAGGCTGTGTTCTTGTTTTTTCATATCTAGAAGATATTTAGAAACGAAAATTAAATGATAGATGAAATTGAAGTAGACCTCTCATGATTCCCCATCTGAAGGGCTGCATGTTGCCTATTCTTGAGTTAGGAGATCTGTTTAGTAGGAGAAACTAAAAAAAGATATTTAAAATGGCTGTCAAGAGAGTGTACAGCCTTCCTTTTCTCTCTCATGTAATATTGTGTTTGAGGCCAACTAATACAATTGCTTGTGGAAAAAAACTGAAGGGGGGAGAGAAGAAATTTTTACCTCTCTCATGTCATACTAGAATTATGGGCCATCCAATTAAATGGATGGGCATGAGATTTGAGGCATGCTGAAGGACAGGCTTCTTTGCCCAGTACGCACTGACACATTTTATTGCCACCAAATGGTGGTGAAGGCCAATCACTTAGATGGCTTTAAAGCAGATTCAAAAGAGCTAGACTCTGTGCATTTACCAATGGCCGTTAATCATCGTGTTTTCATGGAACCACCCATATTCAGAGGCTGTATGCTATTGACTATGGGGGCCAGAAACACAAGGTTATTTCTTCTCATCCTTGTAGGCATCAGGCTGGTCCCTGTGAGATTTGAGATGCTGGAATAGCAGAGTCTTGATCTGCTCTTTTTGCATATTTCAGATGCTAGAGATAAGAAACAAGCGAGGTCTCCTTTTGACTTCCATACGACTTCCCGTATAAGTCCCAAGGGTGTGCCAACTGTGAATTTTAGGAGTTGTGATCTTGTACTTCCAGATATCCCGCCCCCCCAATGGCAGAGATCTGGTCTAAATGATTAGAATTAAACTTAGATTTTTCTAGGAGTAAAGAGCCTTGAATGGTCCTGGCGCTGGTCAGTTCTTCACCTTCACTAAAACTACACTACTGTAATCTGTTGTGGAGCTTTCCTCAGATTCTTTATTGAGATTGCCCTCTGCTGTCCAAACCAGTATTACATCCCCTCTTCTTTTGATTATTAATCTTACAGATTGTAAATAAGGTTGAAATTATTCAGGTCACAGCCTAAGAGAACCAGGGCTAGGAACAGCTCTAAACATTGTTAAGTTTGACATGCTTCTCCTCCATGCTTGTTCCTTCTCCGTGGCATCTGGCCTTCTTGCTTTTTCAGCTGCCAAACATATCTTGCTACCTACAGCCATCACAAGCACCATATCGTGTCCCGGAATTCAAGAACATACAGGTAGTCTGCGACTTACAACTAGTTATGATGGTCTCAGGGTCAGGACAAGTGCTTTGTGGCCTGTATGAAGCATTTACGGCTGTAAAATGCACTGCCCACCACCACCACATGACTCCATTTTGAGCACTTGGCAACTGGTTCTATCAGGCATATTAGGTCCACACATGAAGGTCTAATTAAACTGATTTATTGCTAATTATGCCTATGCACAAGCGTTTTTTTCAACTAAGGTTAACACCTGCTTGGGGTTAGATAAGAGTCAAGAGAATTCAAGGGAGGTTGGACTCAGTTTGCTTGTGGCTATATAGGGATTCTAGGCTGATCCTTCTTTTACCTCCACCCTCAGGTTCTGCCACTCCTCTTACAGATTCACATTTAAAACTGGTTGCCAAGTTCATTTTGATTGTGTGATCCCCATTTGCAGTCTTCTTTGCTGACTTCCCCAGAAACTGAATGGGGAAGCTGGTGGAGAAGGTTGCAAGTGGAGCGGATGTTGGATTTGAGGTCCATTTCCCCTTTCCTCCAGGTATGGCGGTGAAATCCTCCTGCGTACTAGTGGAACAGACCTCAAATCTGGCAATACCACTACCGAATGCCAGGGTTCTGAGCCTTTCAAAAGGCAGATGTTTGCTAGCATTTTCCCCTCCAGGGCATTGTAGACCATGACATTCAGTAAAATTCTGCAACCTGAGCCTTTTAGAATCCTGGCATTCTCTGGCGTTTTATGTATGTCATCGTGTTTCACCCCTCTGGATGGGAAAACTAGTGAATGCCAACTTTCTGAGCCTTCCAGAGCAGTGGTGTTTGCTAAGCATGAACTGGAGACACTGGAGGAATGAATCTCAAATCTGGTAAAAATGTTAGTGCATGCCATTGTTTTCACAATCATTTTTCCAAGGTTCCTTCCAACTCTGTTATTTCATTCTAAGAGTTACACTAATATCGAAGAAATAGTCAAATAAAATTATTAAAGAAAGAATGCCAAAGGAGAGACAAAATAAAGTGGGAATGACAAAAATTAAAATATTTTTTAAAAATTATTTTAAATAATTACATTGAATTGTCCCGCAGCAAATTGTCCCATGGCACGTTTTCCTGTGGCAATTTGGCCATTACGAGTTGGTTGCGGCGAGTTGTCCCATTCAGAATTGGGAGATCCGGGATTTGGGTCATTAAGTGAAGCGAGACATGTGGTGCCTTGCTTAATGACCACTTTCACTTAATGACTGAGATTCGAGGCCCAATTGCGGTCGTAAGTGCAGGACTACCTGAACTTGTATATTTACCCATATTGTACAGCTGTCTGTTGAGCCTTCCTCCTGGGAATTTATATTATTGCTCCTGGTTGGATGAAGGCAGACTGAATTATACTTGACCCAACAGTGTTCTTCCAAGTCCTAAGTCCACTGATGAAAGAGACTAAAGGCACTACTGTTGAAGACTCTACTACAGTGGTAGCGAACCTCTGGCATGTGTGCCAGAGGCGGCACTCAGAGCCCTCTCTGTGGGCACGCACACCATCACCCCAGCAGAGTTTGCCAGAGTAGCGAGCATGAGGTGTTTGGAAGTGACGGGGCAGGAAGTGAGTGAGCAAGCAGCATTGGCTCCTGGGGATGCCCCAGAGATGGCGAGAGACTGTTCCCCGCCACCCTGGTCCCGGCCCACCCATCCCGGCCACGCCCACCCAGTCTGCCATGACCACCGCAGCTGTGATCACCACAGCTATGCCCACCCAGCGGCCTTGCCCACTCAGTGGGCCACGCCCCCCGCTCCTCCTGAGAGCACCACAATGCTGATGCGGCCCTGGCACTTTGCAATAAATAAGTGGGTTTGGGGTTGCAGTTTGGGCACTCGGTCTCTAAAAGGTTCGCCATCACTGCTCTACTACTTAAGTAGCCGCCCCCACTTAGCCGATAGACTAAGAGCTTCACTACTCTACTGACATGGACTAAGGGCTCAAAGAACACGAGATGCTACAGCTCAGTGGTTAGTCTGGCTGTCTATCTTATAATTTTGGGTAAGGCAGGAGCATATCTGATAGACATCTAATTGAGGAAGGTTAGTCTAAGTTTAGCTGGAAAACTCCTGCTTGTGGTCTCCTCTAGGGTGGTATTCCTATTTTGGAACTTCCTTCCAAGGGAAATATGGCTGACTCTGTAGTGCCTCCATTTAGAAGAAAGCTTAAGAGATGCTTCACCCCTGCGTTTTCAAGGAAGCAACTGCCCCACTACCAGATAGTTTCCAAATCACTTGCTGAGTAATATATGTTTTAATTATTAAAATTTAATTTTATTTTATTAAATAAATAAAATGCTGCTAATTTTATTGTTTTATTGCAAAGTTTTGGGGTTTTGTTTTTATTGTAAATAGTGTTTTATTATTGGGACGAATATCTGCATGCAAATAAAAATTACTATTAATACAACTGTTGCCCCTGCTGTACTACTAACAACAACAATAAAGATAATAATAATAATAGAAGAAGAGTTATAGAATATAGAACAGAAGACAAATTCACCCTCAGTCAATTACAAGAGGCAGCTTTACTCAGAACATCTTACATTCTACAACGGTACCTCTAACACTATCAAACAACATCTGCCTCTCCCAGGTCCTCAAGAAGGACTCGATAGGTGGCTAAGAATCCCAAATCCAGTCTGAAGATCTGGCTGACTGTGCAACGAACTTCCATAATAGAAAAAAAAAATAGTTCCCTATTCAAGTCCTCTGTTTTGCATGTAGCTGTTACTTGGCTTACTGGACTGAATAAATTTTCTATTGGTGTAATGATTTTCTTTTTGTGATTTGATGGAGCTGGTTCTAGTGTTGAGCCATGCTTGCCGGATTGGCTTTGGGCTTCATGGTTTCTGAGGCTAAATTCTGACGGGGCAGGCAGTAATCCTGGACCAGCCATTTGATGTAGCTGCTTCTAGGTGTCCTTGCCTGCTGGCCAGCTGCTTGGTAAAACCACAGAACTTTGGATGAGGAGAAGCAGCAAGGTTACCAGCTAGAACAGAAAGCAGCCAAAAAAAAAAAAATGCTCATAGGTCTGATGAAGCACAGAGCAGAGCTCTGTTTGACAGTGATGGCAGCAAACAAAAATGATTTTTCTGCCGCCATTGCTTTTATGCAGAGCCATCCAGGGAGCAATTTTGAAGAGTGGGAAATCTGCTTCATGTAGGTCTCTTGGGTGATTTTAATGAACCACTGAAATTTTTCTGCCAAGCATTTTTCCAATAAAAAAAATCATTTTCATCTGCACTGACTTAGATGCCATTTTGGATACTGTACAAATACCAAACGTTGGGCTTTTAGATTTAGCCTTTAGCAAAAATGTGATGATGCATCTTAATATCGGACCATTTGCAGAATAATTTTGAATGCATCTGTGGAAGAGAATAGTTTTCTCCCATCCCTTTTGATTATTCTCCCATTGAGTTGCTTCTTGAGGTTTGGCATTTTCTCTGAGTGACTTCTGTTTCTGCTAATTTCAGGATTTGGCAAATGACTACCTCACTCCTGCACATTTTATTGTAATGAGGCTAGACTGTCATTTTTCTGTGGGCTTTTACACATTTCTTCACAGTGACTCATACTTTTCTGCTGTAACTGCTGATAAAGCATCTTCAGTCTGAGGAATGGCAATCAAGCCAAGAAAGCTTACGTGTCATGCATTTGAAGTTACATTTTTATCTCCAAGGTGCTTTACAGTAAAGGCAACATGGACTGATCTACTGCCGGTGGGGAAGCTGGCTTATTTCTGTAAGGCAGCCATTTCTATTGTGTTTTTTTTTTTTTGTACTGTATATGGTACGTGGTTAAGAAAGTGCTTGGATCTGAAGATTCATCAGTAAATAGTATGAGAAGTTGGATTCAATCTGAATGTATGTGTGTGTGTATGTGTGTGTGTGTACTGAAATATGTCAAAATGTTTGGTCACTATTCTAACATTCTGAATGGGAAGAAGGCTGAAAATTGCAATTGCAACAGGAAGATAAATGTCTTTTTTTCTTTCCTTTTCTCAATAGCTCTCTTTAACAAGTATATTATAGTAATTGTGTCATTCTTTTTTTTTGCAATGTGAAATTCTTGTACCACAATGTAGCTTGGCTCACTTGTTTAGGCTGCTCTCCCAATAAGCACTTCATTGTGGTTCACTTGTTCTTGACATATGGAACAGTGAATGTCTGTGGCAAAATGAATACGGCAGTATCTAATCACTAGGAATGTGGTACTTTATTTTGCTTTACTTAATGATTCTGTAGTCTAGGATAATACTTTGTGACATTTTGAGGATGGTACTTGGAAACCAAACCTTTTTCTAGCATTCCCATCTCCTTAAGTGCTTAGTGAATATTTCTGCACATTTATTTATTAATTAGCATTAGAATACTGATGGGATGTGGGATTCTGTTTGCCTTAAATAAAGATTGAAAGCTTTTCTTTTGCACTCGATAGACATAAATATTAGAGATTTGTTGCTGGCACTTGTTCTGTTTACTTTTAACATGCATTAATAATGTGAAAGAGGATAGATGGACTCTGAAGGGGTTCAGATATTTTGGAGGCAGCGCAACATAATTCCAAATGACCAGGCATAAACAAAGTGAGAGAGGTGCATCAATAAAATGTCAAAATCAGTTGATCAAGAGACAAAATAGCTGACAGTACTTCGTATTGATAGACATGCAAAGTACTAAAAATACTGAGAAGGAGATATCTCTTTTATTTATCTGGAACCCTGATCAGCAACTAGTTTTATACGATAAGTGGTTGGAAAGACGTCTTTCCCAATCTAGGGCCAGGACACAATATGTTTTTATCCTTAATGTTCATTTAAAGATCCCTGTGTTGGCTGCATTATTGATTTTCAATTAGGGGAAGAAGATAGCAGAAGTTTAATATAGATTACATTCAGCAAAATATCAATTGTATATGGAGCACCTGTCAAAAATGCAGGGGACTATTCGAGAATATTGGGAAATGATTAGAATAGTAATTATGAATTCTGTACTGTGGAACAACTATATCTTTTTACTCTGGAATGTCCAGATGTGACAGATGTGATAGAAAATGTATGGTGAGTACCAGGTTAATGGAGGTCAGTTTATAACAAGGGAAATATCTGTTCTACATAACTGAGGTTTTTTTCCTCAACTGAATTTTATAGTCATTTTGAAATAGTCCATAGGGGTGAAGAAACCAGGCTGAAATCATTTTTTTATTTTGGCTGCTAGAACTTGCTGAATATTTTTCTAAACATAGATGCTTGATTCCAAAAGTTTTCAGGCCTCCATCAGTAAATGTGTTGTTTGTAGCGCTAACTACCCATCATAGAAAAATGTATGTGATCAGGAAAAGCCATACATTTTTCCATTTATTCCTTTTGTGTTATCTCAGTCAAGCTTTTAAATAGACTACAAACCTGAGCGTGTTCTTCTATCCAAGCCACAGTTTGTAAACCATGTTCATTAGGACTCATGAGGGTAAAAGACTACTTTTACTTTTCTTCTGCTTTCATCCCATCTGTTAATAGCACTGAGTAGGACCATCTACACACAACCTAGCCATGTGTGCAATATATGCATATATAATAAATGTGACATAGAAACTCCACTATTTCTCTCAGCAGCTGTGGGTTTGTCTCTGCAGAGGCCACATAACAGGCTAAAAATGCAGGAAGCACCAGGAATAAAGAAATTGAATAATGATAAAGAAGTTCATAATGATGAAGCAGTTTACTTATTCCCCAATTAATCAATTACCAAATACTGTACCTCTTTCTCGTCTATGATCCAGACAAAGAACAGATCATAATTTGGCTGACTCAGGGCTGTTCAGGGCCCTGCAGATGGCTGTTAGGTGAAGGGGTACTTAAATGTTTGTTCTGCTCTATTCTTTTGTTGCCATTTTCCCAATAGGGGAACCCAATTACTCGTTTCTCTCTAATTACAGAGCAGCATTTTAACTTTTCATCTTCATAATTTGCTACCCATCTATTTCTTCCTCAGTATTGGTATGATGGTGAGGAGTTGGGGGAACTCCCTCTGGACTTTGATGTCATTTGGGATGGAGATTTTGCCATTGACAAGCCACCAGGATTCAAAGGTACCAGCTCTGGGTATCAAATGGTTCAAGGACGCGCAGTTTCTATTAGTTTATCACTGTAAAGCTGGTACTAATTGATTTTGGTTTACTAGTTCCCTGGAATTAAAATTTTGATTATGGGTAGCCTAATAAAATAATACCAGGGATTTAATGTGTCAGAACAATTTTGCAGGTCAAGAATGTTCTGCTATTTAAAGCAAAGACTAAGGTTATTTCCATAGCTCATTGTTTCTGTGCCCCAATCTCTCCAAAAAAGTCTGAAACAAACCTGCCTGTCTTCTTTTTCCTTGCTGATCTTGCAAATACTAAAAACACAGTAAGCCCATTAGTGCTATGTTTTCAGTTGACCAATAGGAATCTGCAAAAAAAAAAAAAACCCTCTTCAATTGTTGCCTTATCCAAACAATTGAAGCAACAGAAAAAAATCCTCTTTTCTACCAGGCAAAAATAAATGAAAGAAATCACTAATATATCCCTTCCCTGTTTCTCCCTCCCCCCCTCCCATTCTCACACACACATTTTCAGTATATGCTATATGCATCGGTTGTTTGGGAAAAAAAATATGAACAGTTGTAACAGGATGAACTGCTTAGCTACCAAGCCATCATTCATCCTAGATTAAACATGCTATGGTGAGCAATGAAGATGGCACTGTAACAGGTCATCAATTCTGCAGCCAGGCACTTTTCTTAACATAGTAAAGGTGGCAGCTGAAGTGAGGGAGAAGAGGTTACAAAAATGCATACTTTTTAGACTACAGAAATTACAGTAATACTTCTAGTTTGCTGCTCTCTCCATTTCCTCTTGGGGGAAGTAACCAAAATTCCACTTCTCTCAGGGAACGAAAAAATAATTCCAGCAGCTGTTTAGTGTTTGGCAAGCAGCTTATTTCCTGCCAAAGAGAAGGTAGAATTAAAACTCTTGTCAATTTCAACCTGCTAAATCGAATCAGCATTCTGCTAAAAGGATCAGCTTGTGGCTGATGCCCATGGCGGAGATATAATGCAAGCATTTCTTGCAGTAGGGAAATGGACCGTTCACAAGTTCTGCACAGTTTTACTGACCTAAAAAAAGGGGGGAAATAAGTTCTTGAATTATTTTTATAATATTTGAATCACTTTGGATTATAGCTTTTGAATTGAAAATCAGCTGTATTACTGAACTCAGTCTGCTGCACGAGACCACAGAAGTCTAGAGCAGCTTTCTGTCCTCACATAGAAATATCTTAAATCTTCCCCTCTCCCAACAAGTAAGATGCAAATCCATCTGTGTCCATACCTCACTTTCTATGATGCTCTTCAAAAGGGGTCACTTCATTCTCCTGCACAACCCCAGTTCACTCTGCTATAGTGAATGCCAGCCTGGGTGCATTCAAAACAAAGTTAACATGAAAACTGAATATGCGAATAGTCACTTTGTTATCTTACAAGTTATCTCAGCACCTCCTCCATTAGGATCAGTTCAGCAATTTTGTAGGGTGGTTATCTGAGAGCAGCTGGCGCCAAGCAATCTGCAGATTCTTTATTATTTTAACGCATATTTTTCCCCCCATTTTCCTTAGCTCTCTTGTACAAGTGTTCAGCCCAGCGCTCTAGCTGTGGACTGTGCCTCAAATCAGATCCACGTTATGAGTGTGGTTGGTGTGTACCTGAACGTCGTTGCCTTTTGCGTCCTCACTGCCCAGCTTCCAGGCAAAATTGGGTGCCACCCGGTCGGCGTGGGGCACGTTGTACTCACCCTCGTATTACACAGGTAAGAAGCCTATCAGCAAATCCTCACATTCCACCTCTCTTTTTTTTTGAAGTATGTTCTTTAAGAAATATACAGTATATCCCAATTTTTTTCAGCCTGTGTCATCCCTCAGCAGGTTTGGTTGTTTACATGTTGAATGGTGAATGATGGGATTTGTAATCCAGTGCATTAGCAAATTACAGAACGGGGAACACTGGCTTTCCACATCCTTCAATTAAGAATCAGGATGGTTCATAACTGATTAATAGAATCATGAATAACACTGTGGTCCTTTCCCCCATCATCCAGACAAAGAATCCACCTAACTCAAAAAAAATCAGTAAAAGGGGCAACCTTTCTTTGGATTGGGCAGCTTTGCCGTTATATCCTGAAATGTTACAAAGACATGAAATATAATGGAGAGAACCTATAAAAATATGGAAATGTGAGAATCTATCCCACTTTGCCATCACTTCTGTTCATTGATCATCCTGTTTTCATTGGTTTTCTTAAAGGTAGCATCCACTCCCATTTTGTGGTATGTTTCAAGCTTACACATCTTGGGTGTAGTCTTTCAGTGTTTGGGAGGCTAATATAAGCCCAGTTCCTCTCTGATTATGTGATGAACATGGAAATTGATTGTATAAGCTCCTTCCTAATTTGGATGACTTGTTTAGGGATGATTTTCAGTATGACTTTTATGAGTGTCAGAATCTTTTCATACTTGTATCCCGATTGGATGGATGGAAGGAAGGAAGGAAGGAAAGAGAAAGAAAGAAAGAAAGAAAGAAAGAAAGAAAGAAAGAAAGAAAGAAAGAAAGAAAGAAAGAAGAAAGAAAGAAAGAAAGAAATGCTTCCAAGAAGTAAAGCTTGACTCTTCTTTGTGAGTCAAAGCAAATACCTTTTGCTTCTCTCCATGTTATTTCTCCTTCTCTCTGCAGGTATTGCCACTGACTGGTCCCAAGGAAGGTGGGACTCGGGTGACAGTTTGGGGTGAGAACCTGGGTCTTCATTTCTATGAGGTCGGTGTTCGGGTAGCAGGTGTCCGATGTAGCTCTCTCCCTGCAGAATACATCAGCGCTGAGAGGTAGGTGAAAACTGGGTGGGAAAAAAAAGTGGGTAGTGTAAAACCTTGGGATCAGTTTAAAAAAAGAATTCAGAGAAGAACTGAAAAGTTAGGAAAAGGCTGTGTCATCTGTTTGTAGGGTCTACTCTGCTACTCCTGTGCAGTCTATCAGTACAGTGTCCTGGGCCCTGGTGGAATAGTGAGCCCTTTCTTCAGATGGATGGAACCTGACTTCATTTGTAATAATAACACTAGTTATTATGTGAAAAATCTCTTGCTTCCCATTTCCTCTTTCACTGTTCTTTGTTCTGCCAAAGAGTGCTTTCTATGTAGACTGAAACAATCTACTCCTGGATATTATATTTCAGCTTCTTCACAGCAGCCAAGCCTGAAGTCTGTTAGCATGGATTGCTTTGTTCCTGGACATGGTGTAGTGCCTTTTGGTTAACATTGCATAAGTACCTGTTGCAGTCATTACCACAAAATAGGCTGAGAAATATTGGAGTATTGAACCTACTAGTAATAGATGGCATTTAATGTTTCTAGTACTTCAATTTGTGTACGGTATTTTATAGATGTTATCTTCAGGCCAAACAATCTTACATGTAAAATTTCCCTGTTTCCCCCCCCCCCAAACAAGATTTGGCTTGGAGGGATCAAATTTGAATATAAGTGCTGGGTGAAGAACCTTAATATATGTTCTTTGCCCTTAAATTTTCTCTTCAAAATTCTCCTCCTCCCCCCCCTCCCAATTTTGCTCCTGCTTTACATTTGAAAACCAGCATGCAAAACGTCAGGGTGTGTTAAGCACATCTATGTGTAATACCTTTTTTGGTCCTCAATGAGCCTTACAACAGCACTGGGAAAGGCAGGTTGGTTTTATTACCTTAAATGATGTGGGAAGAGGCTGCTGGACCTGCCCAGCCATGCAATAGGATCAAACTTATCTAAAACGCGAAATATCCTGATGAATAGATGATAAGAGCTGGTTCACTGTACCACTGTCCTTTTGCAGAGGGGGAAATCATTTGCATTCTGTTTTACCTAGCTGGACCATGCAGGCTGGAACCAGGAGAAGGGTACTTGAGACAGTGTCTGCGATCTCAGTACACCTCCCTTTGCTCTTTTCTTCTTAATATGTGCAAGAGGAAGCCTCCGGATACTTTGGCTTAATAAGGAAAGATACAATCCTTCGAGCCCCAGCTAGTCGCTTCTTTTAGCTCCCCAGTGAGCTCATTGTTTACGTCAGGTTGGATTGGAGACTTGCCCGTCTTGCATTCTTACTCAGTGTTCCTCTTCACCAGTTTACCAGCAGCATCTTTGGAAGGACCTGATTTAATTCCTTGACTTTCTTTTCTCCTGTGGCTGTCCTGTGTCCAGTCTCAGATTTTGTTTGAGGAGTCAGTCCTTGAAATGCAAGAAGTACCATTCCTCCCCTCTTGCTACTCAGAGAGGGGAGATGCAGATAGAGGAGAGAGGAGGAGACAGGCACGCAGAGTGGGTTAAAATGACTGAATTAGGGCATTTGGGGGAATTTGACTTAATAGCAAAAGGAACATTTGTCTCCTACTTCCGTTTGCATCCTTCGTTTTGAAAACAAAAATGAACCAGCTACTTTGCTGGCATGCTAGGAAACACAAATGGGATCATAGCAATAGCACTTAGATTTATATGCCGCCTCACAGTGCTTTACATCCTTCTCTAAGCAGTTTGCAGAATCAGCATATTGCCCCCAAAGTGTTTTGTCAGCCCTGGATTGTCTCTGGTTGTTCTACACACATGTACTTTGCCTTCTCTCATGAGTCATGTTCCCAATCCCATGGGATCTGCTGTCCGGAGGGACTGTCTCATATAGCCTAAACCTCATAGCCTAAACTCCTGTGAATATGCAGTACCCTCTGGGCAAAAGCATAAGACGCAGCGTGCCGTCCCCCTCCCCCTCTCTCACGGTCAGGCCTTTGGGGGGGTCTCCTCTTTTGTGCCAACCTCTGATAGGGTTGATTGAGGGGCGTAGTAGGTCCAGCTCAAAGTATTCTTGGCACCCTCTTTCTGGGCCATTGATGTCAAAGGGTACACTAGACACCTCTGCTAATGGTAACGGTGCCCACTGTTCCTGCATCTCCCACAACATTAAGAGAGAACTTCTAGGGCCAGTGGAAACTTACTAAAGCTGCTCTGGGACAGATTAGGTCTCCTGTATGTCCAGCCTGCTCAAGAGAGCTGCCCATTCTGAAAGAAAGAAGGGTGGGTGTGGAGGGGCTTATGGAAAATGAGGGGTGGGTGCATTGGCCTTGGCTCTACTGACAGATCTCATCCCTTCCCCTCAGACTGGTGTGCGAACTTGAGCCCTCGCTTTTGCCAGATCCTCCCCCAGGCCCCGTGGAGCTCTGTGTAGGGGACTGCAGTGCTGACTACCGGACCCAGTCAGATACTCCTTTCACCTTTGTGGTAAGCAGTTTTATAGGCTAGAGCAGTGATGGCGAACCTTTTAGAGACCGAGTGCCCAAACTGCAACCCCAAACCCACTTATTTATTGCAAAGTGCCAGGGCCGCATCAGCATTGTGGTGCTCTCAGGAGGAGCAGGGGGCGTGGCCCACTGGGTGGGCAAGGCCGTTGGGTGGGCGTAGCTGTGGTGATTACAGCTGCGGTGGTCATGGCAGACTGGGTGGGCGTGGCCGGGGTGGGTGGGCCGGGACCAGGGTGGTGGGGACCAGTCCCTCGCCATTTCTGGGGCATCCCCAGGGGCCAATGCCGCTTGCTCACTCACTTCCTGCCCCGTCACTTCCAAACACCACATTCTTGTTACTCTGGCGAACTCTGCTGGGGCGATGGTGTGCGTGCCCACAGAGAGGGCTCTGAGTGCCGCCTCTGGTACACGTGCCATAGGTTTGCCACCACTGGGCTAGAGTCATTATTACTGAAGTCCTGGATAGTTTATAATGCAAGCGACATCTTCCCACAGAGTGGTAGAGGAGTTTTTGCCTGACAGGTAGGTTGATTTATTTGGAGAACAAGAGATTTGTTTTTGAAGTGTGCATTTCAGCAGACAATTCATTACTGATGTTTGTCCCTTCTAGACCCCCAGCTTTTTTGGGGTGGACCCAGAACGAGGTCCCACCTCAGGTGGGACAAAAATCAGCCTCCTAGGAAACCATCTGGATGCTGGGAGCAATGTCACAGTTGCAATTCGAGGAGCGCCATGTCGCCTAATCGGGTACTATTCGGGTTTCAATAGGGAGGGCTGGATCTCCTTGATGAAACTGAAAACACACACAACAGAATGCAATGTTACCTTGCAGTGTTTGGGTTTAGCATTGTGTTCAGCACAATGTAGCTGATATGCTTTCAGTTTAATGCAGTGTTTCTCAACCTTGACAATTTTAAGGCATGTGGACTTCAACTCCCAGAATTCCACAGCCAGCATTGCTGGCTGTGGAATTCTGGGAGTTGAAGTCCACATGCCTTACAATTGTCAAGGTTGAGAAACACTGGTTTAATGTAATGTATGAAATCTAGACACAGATTTGTAGATTGTGGTTAATAGGCAAGTATATTGTATGAATTATGGCTCTATGGCTTAGTCAACAAGCCATAACTTAGCAGAATGTATGACCCAACGGTATGGTTACCAGCACTGGTCAATGAGGTGCTTTAATTTTAACACTGAAGCAGTAGGCATGAGCTTAAATGGACTCCAGAAGATGGTAGAGGACAGGAAGGCCTGGAGGAACGTTGTCCATGGAGTCGCGATGGGTCGGACACGACTTCGCAACTAACAGCAACAACAACAAAAGGATTATGGAAAGTGGTTCAATATCTCAAGAAAACACAATGGGAAGATCTACTTTGAGTCACTTAATGTTCATAGATGTTGGTCTCCTAGGAGAAAAATGGTCTAAGAACCAGTATTACATCACAGGAAAAGTGTTAAATTGGGGAGGCCCAGATACAGGCCCTGCTTGACCAGGAAGCTCTGGGAGCTCTGATTAGATATTATCTAAATGGGAGGGGAAATACAGATCATTTGGTGTGAAATGGGGAGCAATGACGGTGGAGCCTGTGTACTGTTAGAAAAAGTGCAAGATGGATTTTACAGCTTTATTATGGGGTCAAGGCTATTATTAGGAGTCGTGCTTGTAATGCTCCCTTCTTCCTCGCTCTCCCAAGGCGTAGTGCAGGGGAGATCGTCTGCCTGTCTCCCCCCTCGGCATCAGGCCCAGGTCCTGCCAACCTCAGTCTTCGCATTGACCGTGCCAACATCAGCACAAACGGGACAGTCTTCTTCCGCTATAGTCCTGACCCAGTGGTCACAGCCGTAGAGCCTGCTTGGAGTATTGCGAAGTAAGTGACAAGCCTCTGACAGTGGTATTGATAGGAGAACTTTAGCACATTTCCTCAGGGAATCTTTGTTATGTTTGCCCTGAATGAAGGCGGTTGAATAAATCAGTTTTGCGACAGCATCCGGAGCACAAAGCAGACTCTGGCTGATCTTGGAAAGAACTAAGCAGGGTCAGATTGTAGAGAGGTCCACTGAGAAATCTCTGGTTGTAGGCTAGACTGGAAAGTCCAAACTATTACAGAAAAAGACATTAGCAGTCCATGTCTGTATGGCTGGAACAAAAGCAACATGAGCATAGTCACGTAGCTACCAGGAATCACACACCAGATCTGAAGGGGTCCTTTGGGTTTGGTTTCTTTCTTTCTTTCTTTCTTTCTTTCTTTCTTTCTTTCTTTCTTTCTTTCTTTCTTTCTTTCTTTCTTTCTTTCTTTCTTTCTTTCTTTCCGAAGAAACTTGATAATTTCTTGCATCTCCTTACGCTCCAGGGCTATTGGAAGGACCCAGATCTCCTCCCTGCTTTTGAAGATAGATTTCTCCTAGAAAAATGACTCCTGGTTGTTGCTTTTTGCCATTGATCTCCTGCTTCACTTGCTCATTTAGGGTGATGTGGAAAACATTATATATTCAATTATATCTTCCAGTTTCTTTCACTGGAGTAAATGTTTCACATTCATGGTGATACAGATAGATACTCATATATTGTGTGTGTACACAAATATGCATACACACACACAAAATATATGCAGTTATGCACACCAGTGTCTTATTCCAAATGCAAAGAATGGTATTACAAATGCAGAAAAGGATGTGCCAGTATTATAGATGCATAATGTAACTTACAGAAGCTGGAAAAAATAATGACAATTGTGTGTAGGCCATCTACTGACTTGAAAAATATTTTGGTATTTTATATAAAAGGGGTGCATAATAGACAAGCCTATGTGTGCAAAGGCATTTGTAATTGACTTGTGGAATGTAACATTGTTATTTTTCCCCCATCACCTAAAAATCTGAACTTTCAAAGACAGTTGTATTCTGGAAAAAATTGAATTATGAACTGAAGGGAACAAGACAAATGTTGAAGAGTCTTTCTTCCTGTTTAATTTATTGGATGCAAATTTCTTTTACTCATTTGATTTGGATTGTATTTATGCTTTGCTAAGTATAGTTTGAATTCTAGATCTGAGTGCCTCCCTAGTACCATGGTTATAGTAGTACCCCTGGTGAGATGGCATCATGAAAATGGGGATTAGCTGGCCCTGTGTGTTCTGGAAATGCTAAGTTTCTCTTCTCTGACTACGCTTTCTCTTTTGTGTTTGGTTTCTTTTCTGCCCTTCTTTTTACAGTGGTAGCACCAGCCTCACAGTGAGTGGGACCCACCTCTTAACCATTCAGGAACCACGGGTTCGGGCTGCTTATGGCGGGATAGAAACCATCAATGTGAGTCTTCTGTGGCAGATGAAAACCTAGTGGAATCGGAGTTTAGATCTTTGCATAAGAAACAAAGAGAGAACAAGAGAGGGTGTTTCCGGAAATACTGTAGATTAATTTGTTGGGGAAGGAGGAGAGTTGCAGAGTTCATATTTATCACAATATTCCAAGGCTCAGTATGACATCAGACCATTTTGCAGCACTGGGCAATTTGTATTCCTGAGTTTCTGTACAATCCATTTAAAATCAAAACTAACTTAGGGAATCGCTGGGTAGACGAAAGGTGAATGGAAGGCAGGTTGACCCTGGAGTGTGCTTTCTTATTTTGTAGCCTCTGATAGATTATTCACAAGTAAAAATAGCCTTACCTGTCCATTGTCATGCATTTGGAATTCCCTTGAAGGACAGACAAGAAATAAAAATGGCAAGATGTTATTCCAAGAGAAAAAAGAATATATCTCCAAAATACAATTAATAGCAGGGCGGAGAATGTTGCACTTCCCCTTAGGATCTAACTGATTATGTTGAGGTGATCCATGTGGCATGGGCCCTGCTAAAGTATTGAGTGGTGGATGGATAAAGTCAGAACTGTGTATATTCAAAAGGCCATCCACCATGTGATTTTCTTGTCCATTGATTCCTAGTTCTGCAAGTAAATGTCATTCTTAAATAGGTTTCAAATGCAAAATGCATAGGGGATGCTCAGAGCATTGGACTGCTGGGAACATACCTTTTTTTTGTATAATTGAGAGCTAAGAACAATGCAAAGTTCCAGCTTGCAAAGATGGCTATGTATATTTTTTGCCTAAGAACAGGCACAGGATGAGGGCTGGTGTTAGAAGGGCAAAGCTGATGGATGCCCTCTGTGGGGCTTGTGTGTATGTTGTTGTTTTTTTTGTTTGCTTCCCTGCAGAGTTGCCAGGTGCTAAATGACTCCATAATGTTGTGCAAGGCCCCGGGCATTATACCTCGGGAGCAGGCACTGCCCCTTGGAGGTGCTCACCCTGATGAGTTTGGCTTCCTCTTGGATGATGTGGCTGCCACCCGGACCTTGAACCGTTCTGCTTTTACATACTACCCAGACCCTACTTTTGAGACCTTTGGGCCCAGCGGCATACTGGAAATTAAACCCGGATCCCATGTTGTCCTCAAGGTATTGGAACAGTCTGTGTTGGGGCTTTGACAATATAATTGAAATGAGGTTCCCCCGGTGCTTTAAAATACAAGTCTTTCTAGAAGCCGCTTGCTGGAAGCCACACTCATGACAAATGATTTTCTGCAACATTATAGGCATTAAATCCTTTTGGTCAGAGATGCAATAACCCAGAAGAACGGGGTCAGTGGGCTACCACGGCAAGTGTCTCTTGTTATGTTTGAGCCACACAAATGGAGAATTTGATCAAGGGGGGGGGGTATGAGTTTTAATGTTTTTTGTAGTTCCTTCCCTTTTGTATAATGCAACTTTTAGGCTTTTGGCTGCATAAAGAAGTTGTGACTACATAAAAACGTTTTTGGGGAAAAATTAAAATTAGAACCTAGTGCAAGGGTGACCTGAAGAGTATTCTAAGGATCAGGGACTCTGCTCTTCTGTCTTTCTCTGCTGCTGTTGTTGTTGTTGTTGTTTTGCCAGTTTCTGGCATTTACTTCCAATTTCCGGCAAAAAAATGCCAGTTGGGTAAAATGGATTCACTTAATGACCATGGTGTTCACTTAACAAATGCTACCAAAAACGCTGCTTTCATGGTGCTTTGACTTACGACTGCAATGACTTATGAGTCATTAGACTCAGTTTGGTTGTGAATGGAGGACTAACTTTTATCAGTGGGAAAGTAAAGCTTGCCTAGAGGGGCAAGAGATGTTGCCCAGCATGTCCCTTATTGTCAACTCAGAAAGGGAAAAAAAAACAAAAGTATTCTAAATGGCTTACAATCAAGTAAAAAAAAAAAAAAAGCTTGCTCAGGGGTACGAGCTCCTGTAAAAGACATAGCACAGAAGGAAAACAGGATGCCAGGCTGGAGATATGGATACAATTTCAGGCATTAATTTGTAAAGATTCTTAACAATAACCACCAGGATATAGTTTCATGCAGGAGGGTGTTGATATTGTCTTTCAGCTCTTCTCCCCTCGTTTCTCCCCCTATTCTTCCAGTGATTCTTAAACACTAAATTAGCTCCCAAATCTAAACGGAGGATGGTATAACTGTATATTCCCTATATTTTTCTTCTCAGGGCCGGAATCTGATCCCTGCAGTTTCCGGCAGCACACGACTCAACTACACAGTGCTGATTGGTGGAGAACCTTGCACCCTGACTGTTTCAGAAACCCAGTTGTTGTGTGATTCGCCAAGCCAAACTGGAGAGCAACCAGTCATGGTACACCTGATTCGTGGGCAGGGCTGAGTAAGGGACTTGAGCCATGCTCCTCCATTCTGGAAAGCGTCACTAATGTCATGGGCAGATCAGGACTTGTCCAGTTGATGACATTTTACATGCCTTAATACAGGTAGTCCTCAATTAGTGACCACAATTGGAACTGGCAGCTCTGTTGCTAAACACCTTGGTTCCTAGGTGGAAAAAATCACATGATCACGAGTTGTGATTTTACCTCCACATTCTCCACTATCTCTGCCTGTTGGAAGCCTGTTGTGAAGTACACATAGAGTGATCATTTGATTGTGGGATACTGCAATGTTTATAAATGTGCGCTGTTTGCAAAGTGCCTAAATGGCAATCATGGGAGCACAGGATACTGGGGCAGTTGTATATGTGAGGACTGGTTTCAAAACTGGTTTTATTACACTATTGTAACATCAAATGGCACTAAATGAGGCAGTCAGTAACTGAGGACTACTTGTATGACATTTTGTAAACCTGATAAATCTCTGGGGAGAGAAAAATCCCTAGTTTTTCCCAAAGACGTGTAGTTTAGATCCAGAATTGACACAAATGACTTCAGTCTTGCCCAGCTTTCTCAAACAAATACAAACAACATCCAGCTACAAATTCACATCTGTACTTGAAACCAATTGGATGTGGAGAAGACGCAGCGTTCCATAAGGAAGTCTTCCTATGTGAACAGCCGTGAACAATAATGAGGGAACATGAGATGTTCCCCTAAATTGTGGGTACTGATTCCTGACCTGGTTGCTGGTTGAAAAATAAAGGGTGAATAAGAAAGAAAGACTTAATGACCTGCTTGTGCGATCCAGATGGTATCTCACTGTCAACTGCTAGAAACTGAAAGAGTCCTTAGTCCAGGGGTGGGGAACCTTGGCTCTTTTATGACATGTGGACTTCAACTCCCAGAATTCCTGAGCCAGCATCCATAATTCTCAACTCAACTTGCAGAGTTGCTGTGGTGAAAATAGGAGGAAGAAGGCATGTTCGGTATTTTATTGTCTTATTTATAAAAATAATAAAGGGAAATAAGTAAGTATTGCTCTCCTTTCCTTGCAGATCCTGGTGGGAGGTCTATCCTTCTCTCCAGGCATCCTGCACATCTATCCTGAGGCAGCTTTGCCTTTGCCAGCTCTTGTGGGCTTAGGGGCCGGAGGAAGCCTCCTTTTGGGGGCTATCATTGGGGTGCTGGTAGCCTATAAACGGAAGACCCGGGATGCAGATCGGACTCTGAAGCGTTTGCAGCTGCAGATGGACAACCTAGAGTCACGGGTGGCTCTGGAATGCAAGGAAGGTACTGACGGGAGTAGAAATTGAAGGAAGTGCTATAAAACTGCCAAGAAGTGGTCAGAGAAAGAGGGAGGGGCATTGTCTTTGTTTCCAAGGCTGAAACATTTCATCAGTGTCTCCATTGGCATACAGCCCTGACTAACCGTCATATTCACAGGCACAGTTCTCATAGATCATAGTAAATAGTCTAGAATGTTTCCCAGCTCTTTATAACACCAAGGCTTATTTCCCCTCCCCCCCCAGCTAGTTTTGTTTGCTTGTTATACAGGGACCCTTTGTTTTCCCATTCCTATGTGAAAATGTATTTTGTACACCCACAAAGTCTTGGAAAAATTCATAACATTTCGTTCCCTCTTCAGCTCTCCCAAGAGTTAAACTTTCTCAGGGGAAGAAGAGAGGACACCTTGACTTCCATACATTTGCATAGGCATAGGGAACAGACCAAGGTGTGACTCAGACCTTGGACAAATCCAAGCCAATATCCTTTTCTCTGCAGTGTGGCACAGCCTTACGTTCACTGACAAAAATGAACAGCCCACAAAACTAGACAGGAGGCAAAATTCAGCAGGGGCGACTCACAAACTAAATACACCCAAACCTATATTTTTTTTCTTTGCAGTGTGGCAGTGCTTTTATCTTTGCTTCACTAGGACTCGTGTAGAGTCCTTTAAATTGGCTTTGTTGATACCAAGAATCTGATGTCGCCTTGAATTTCCCTCCCCCCCGAAAATTATGGGAAGCAATGGGGGGAGGGGGAGGCAGCAGCAAAGAGGTTCTGCTTAGACAAAATCTTTATCTAGTGCAATTTAAATTTATAAGAGGAAAAACAAACATAGCTATGTTGTAAATTTGTTTGCACAGAAAAATAAAAATGTATATTTTGGGTAAAAAAAGCTCATACTGAAAAGCAGAATGCCAATGGTACAGTTGTACAGTACTTCATTTTCATGCCTCTTAGATGTACAAGGATGGGGAGGTGCATGTGCGCATGCGCACACATGTACACACGCATTATCCCAAGAGGACATCTTACAAGAGTAACCTAAGATACATAATGGCCAAGTCGAGTGCATCAAATCGCATTTTCACTTCACTTGCGTAGTATCCAAGAACAATGGTTAAGGCAATTTGAGGCAGAAGATCCCACAAGCTCCTTGCCTCTCAATGGCAAGGAAAAATACACTAATAATGCTTTAAAGATGGGGGGGCTGACCATGACACCCCAAACCAATTGATTTGAGGCAGCTCTGCCTAATGATAAAACTCTGTTTTCAGCCCAGCTTGTTTTAGAGCAGGGGTGTCAAACTGCTGGCCCGCAGGCCAGATGCGACATGCCGAAATCACGCCCATCCCATTGCCGGCAATGGAAAAAAGTTACGATACATTGCGACACATCACGTGATGTTGCAAGTTTGACACCCCTGTTTTAGAGTAAAGGAAGGACAAGCAGAGAAGAGATTTGAGGAATATTATATCGCATGCATGAGTTATTACTCCAGTCTGAAATGATAGGTTTACCTGAGCCAGTTTAATATACACAGAGGAAGGATAGTGGCTTCAGAGATGTGATGTGATTCCAGTTGCCATCTAGTCTCAAAGGAGAAATGAAGAATTTAGATTCTTTTACAAGAAGTCTCATACAAGCTTAGCATATGCCTGTTACATGTTGCCAAAATATGCACTTGCAGTGTTTAAGCATGATGATCTTCAGTCTTTTCCATGTGAAATAATACCTATTCATTTTTGCTGCCTGATCTGATGAGACAGGGCTATTGCAGGCCAAGGATGGCAAGATGTTTAATTCTTTGGCTCCATTCTGGTCAAAAGAGGCAGAGTGGAAGGAAAAGTCTCCTTTGCAAAGAACTCAACACTTTTAACAGTCTTCTATCTTCTTCAGCTTTTGCTGAGTTGCAGACAGATATTAACGAGCTGACAAACAACATGGATGGCGTGAAGATCCCATTTCTGGATTATCGGACATATGCAAGGCGTGTGCTCTTTCCAGGGGTGGATGATCACCCGGCACTTCAAGAAACCAGTGTGAGTGCTTGTTATGGAAAAATTAGACCTGTGTGACATGCTGTCTTAACAATAATATTAAATTGGGTATAAATTGAGCTATGGAGATTGGTTTATCATGAGGTTTGGTACACTGAGGCCTTTATATTTCAATATCTCTGGTATCGTCTGCTGAACTTGTCTATTCAGATGCTTGTTCCTGAAATTATGTATTGGGGCTGATTCTGCTCCCAATACGATGGATCTAGGAGTTCCTTTTCTTCATATACCAGCACAGAGACCCCCTTAGTTTGTAGATAATGGCCATCAAGCTGAACGTCTTACTGATCTTCATTTCCATCTTGTTAGATCTACGAAGGTTGCATTCAAGAGCAAATCTTAATAGTATTAAAGAGTGGAGGCAAACGGGGAAACTACATATTTTATGAGATTATCTATCTATCTATCTATCTATCTATCTATCTATCTATCTATCTATCTATCTATCTATCTATCTATCTATCTTTTATCTGTCTGTATCATCTGTCTGTCTTATATCATCTATCTATTTCTGCCTGCCTGTCTGTCTGTCTTGGGGCTATTGGAAATGAAGTGGTATGATCCAACAAGGCAGTCGGCATGTTCCAAAGTTCATAGAGGTGAAACAGGTATGTGAAGTCAAGAGCATATAAAAAGACTTTCCCAGTTGTGAGCAACACACCCAGCCTATGGCATGCAGAAAGCTACAAGGAATATTTGTCATTGCCCATGCTAGCCATATTGGCTTAGGGAGCGGTTTCTCTTTTCTTGCTTCTGCAGACACCACCAAGCACAGAGAAAGGGCTCCGTCTCTTTGGGCAGTTGCTACACACTCGGCCTTTCCTGCTGACCTTCATCCACACCCTGGAAGGCCAGCGAGGTTTCTCCATGCGAGATAGAGGCGCTGTTGCTTCTCTGACGATGGTGGCCCTGCAGGGCAGGCTTGACTATGCTACTGGGGTGCTGAAGCAGCTGCTGGCTGACCTCATTGAGAAGAATCTGCAGAACCGTGCCCACCCCAAGCTGTTGCTCCGTCGGTGCGAGACCTTTCATTCCCATGATCCTCTCCTCCTGGTCCCATTGAATGTTGCTGTTTAGTAATTAAATTGGCAACAGTGAACAGTGCATGAGTCCGTATTATCAACAATATTCGTGGGATAGTCAGAGCACAAGTTAGAAGAGTGGAGAGATCCAGATCCTTTCTTCCTTTTCACAAAACACTACCACAGGTATAGGGGACTTCTTCCATCTCACAGACGCAAGCAACACTCTCCTCTGTCTTTCTCTTGTTCCAGGACAGAGTCAGTGGCTGAGAAAATGTTGACCAATTGGTTTACTTTTCTGCTGCATAGGTTCCTGAAGGTAAGACTGCCTGAAATTTGGGCTCTTCAGATTTATTCTGTTACAACCCTGGAATCATTAGCTTCATCAATTTAATGATATTCTTCGCTGGGATGCTGGGAAATTTGAGAGAAAATGCTGGGAACTCTTATTCAGTGATAGAATATAAGCCCTAAATGTAGAAGACTTTAATCCTTGGGACTTCCCTTAAAAAAAGAACAGATAGATCTGATGAGAATAGAAAATACAGATTTACCTATGATCTCATTTGCTGCCTGCAGATTCCCAGGTTTCCTGCTTCAAGCTTCTCTCTTCCTTACCTAGGAATGCGCCGGGGAGCCATTATTCATGCTGTTCTGTGCCATCAAGCAACAGATGGAGAAAGGCCCAATAGATGCCATCACAGGCGAGGCACGCTACTCGTTGAGCGAGGACAAGCTCATTCGCCAGCAAATTGATTACAAGACCTTGGTGAGCTTAGGAGGTGGCAATAGGGAGTCAACCACATATTCCACTTCAATAAATCATGGCTGTATGTAAGAAGAGGCTTGTTGCCTAAGTCATTCTAGTTTGCAATTCTGGCTTGGAGGCATCGGTGCCACCATATTAATTAAGCGTTTTCATTTTGTAACCATTGGAAACTTTCCTAAGTGGGTTAATTACTTAATTTCAAAATGGGGGACCAGCCTGGAAGAAGCAGAGCTGTAGACAGAGCTGGAAATTATGGGTGATGTACCATGAAAGATTACCTTGTGCAAAACACCGTAACGCTATAGAGAATCGGGATTTGATGGGTATTCTGCAAGGTATTTCATGCTGGGCTGCAGCTAAGGTAAAGGCAACAGGTGCTGATTATAGACAGCTTGGGAAGACAGAAAGTCTCTTTAACAAAGTAGCCAAATATTTTGTCCTTTTATGAATAAGCTGCCTCTGGTTTTAATATCACAAACTCCCAATTGCAGTTCTGTTATCTACATTCATATTTGGCAATAGGGATTTTTAAAACACTGAAACACTCATTTGGAGCTGTGTTAAAATACAGAGGTTAAAATGGCTATTTTCCTTAGCTATTAAAGATGGGAGAAGTGGAATGGTTACCTCTTATTCCAAATCCCAGATCTGTGGATGTTCCTAAATGTGTGTCTTTACCATGGCTTAAAATGAGCAGATTTATTTTCTCTGCCAGACATTATTATGCACCCCTCCTGAGCCACCTGGGGGACCTACAGTGCCTGTTAAAGTATTAAACTGTGATTCAGTGACACAAGCGAAGGAGAAGCTTCTAGATGCCGTATATCGAGGCGTACCCTATTCGCAGCGGCCACGAGCTGAAGACATGGAGTTAGGTATGAAGGCAGGAGCATGGCAGAAAGCAGGTGGGGGTCGTGAGCATGGAATGGACCTGGGTAATCAGCCACTGGCTTAAATTTGTAACTAAATAGGAAGAGAGAATAATAAAGCCAACTGTCTTCCCACTCGTCTTCCGGTTTATCCCAGAGTGGTGTCAGGGTGCTGGGGGACGGACCGTCTTGCAGGATGAAGATGCCACAAGTAAAATTGAAGGAGACTGGAAGCGGCTCAACACTTTGGGACATTATCAGGTATTTGCCTTCCTTTTCTGGACTAATTCACCATGAGGGTGGAGGTTCGTTCTTCGACCTCAGAGAACGCACCTCCACCCTCATCCTCCACCCGACCTACAGACATTCACCACCATCACTGATTAACTATTTTAATATGTATGTTTCAGTTTGAGACTAAAACCTTCAATAGTGTACGTGAATGTACAGTTTTAGTTTTCTTTTAAAGCTCTGAGTAGTTTATATTGTAGCAGTCATGCTTACCGTAATATTGCCAGCAGCCAACACATTATGAAGAATCCTTTAGTCTCCCCTGGAGTAGAATCCATTGAGATCAAGAAGGGGAAACTGAATCTCTCTGAATAAAAACCACAGAATGGCACTTGGCTTTGGATTAAAGCTTACCTCAAGGTGCTGCTCTTAATAGTCTTGGGTTGCCTCAGAGGTCCTCCTCATGTTGGTGGTTTGTTCTTGTGTATTTCTTTAGAAATTAGTGTGACATATAATTGCTAGCATTATGAACCAAGTAGCTTCCTGTTCAGCTTTTGGCTCCATCATAAATTTGATCAGAGGGCTTTGCCCAAACTAGTGTTCTCTTAAACTCCTCAATGTTTGCATGAATGAATGCACAGATACTGTGATGATAGAAGGTTAGTAATCCCTTTAGAGCTATCTGTAATCCTGCAGTATTGTCACCCACAATGTCACCTGTCCTAGTGCTAGTAATAGGTAAAAGATATTGTGGTTAAACAAACAATAGTCAAAATGAAGCTCAGTTCACATTATGTAAGTATCTAATGGCAAGTATTTATGTATTGATGTTTTGGCATATTGTCTTGACAGCATGATTGCAGATAATTCTAAAAAGTTCACAAACTTTCTCTCACTACTATACCCTTACTCTAGTTTCTGGTATGAGAGTAATGATTCTGCTCTAATTTACAGAGTTTACAATGACTGTGTAAAATGCATTGAAAGTTTGAAGTGTACTGATAGAAGAGAATATTAGAGTTAAATTGTGGGAATCCTTGGTGCTCTCTGACCTTGTTGGTTTTCTTGCAAATGTTTCATTACCAAACTAGGTGGCAACATCATTGCTGAGATGGTAATATCATCAGATCATTGATGATGTTACCTAGTTTGGTAATGGAACATCTGCAAGAAAACCAACAAGCTCAGAGAGCACCAAGGACCCCCACAATTTGAAGTGTTCTATGTTAATTCTAAGTGTTATTAATGGTGTTAACTGGCCGACATTCTTCTTTCTTCTCTTCCCCATCCCAATCCATCTTACCTTTAAACCTACTTTCCCCTTTCTTCCACTCCTGCCACCTCTGCAATTTAACACACAGGTGGCAGATGGCTCCACGGTGGCCTTGGTTCCTAGGCAGGCATCAGGCTACAATATTGCAAGCTCCTTCACTTTCACCCATTCGCTGAGTCGCTATGGTAAGGAATGGCACACCTCCACCCCACCCACCCACCCATCCCCGATCTTCACCATCACAGAGATGCATGTCTGCCCCGAATGACTTGCGAGCCCCACATTTCTCCAACAGCGTAACCTAACATTGCAAAGAAATGCTTAACCCAGTTTGGGTGTGGAGGAACTCTAAAACGTAGTAGAGGCTGTCTGTGAGCTGTGTGTTGCTTGGACCGCCGCCAAAGTGGTATCTGTGATAGGTTGTCCCTTTTGAAGCACCCTTGGAAAGAATTCTCTGTATTTTCAAAGGGTTTCTGGGCAAGGGGAAAATCCATGTTTCTTGCCCAAGAGAGAAGAGAGCAGCATGGATAACAGAGGGAGGGAAGGATGGGATATGGATGTAGATGACCTCAGAGTGGAGTCTTCAACAGGTTTCTAAGGGAGTGTGGCCACCTGGTTAAGATTTAAGCAGATAGATAGAGACTAGGGCTATGTAAAGATCCAGATTTAAATATTATTTAGAGGAGCAGATGTGAGCACGCCCTTTGCACCTATCGGGAACACCTTAAAGCAGCAATGCATGCTTCTGGAACATGTTCCATACGTGTGGTGTAATGTGCAGGAACTCTTTGAAAATATATGCTGGAGCGGTCCAGACTTTCTGACTAAGGAGCCAAATTCCACACTCTGTATACATTATGCAAATGTTCATCCTTTCTCATTTTTCGTAGTTTTTCAAACCCTGAAAATCTTACCTGCTTGCAGTTCATTTTACATTTTTAAGGCTGTTATTATTATAACCATAAACTCTAGAAATGTGCTTGAAAGTAAGAAACTTGAAGTGCTTCACTTTTGGGGCTTGTTCTTAATTCTTGCTGAGTTGCAGCATGTTTGCCCTCCTTGAAATTGGAAGGAATACCCCTTGAAATTGTATATTCTGACATTTGGGATGTGTTTTCAGGATACAGCCTTTCCTCCTTGTCTGAGGCCTCATAAACTGAGATTACAGTCTTGTGGAAATGAGCCTCTGTCGTTGTCTTTTTATGTGGCTTGGCATGCAGAGGCATGTCCTCTGACATATACACACATAGGCTTTATATGGTGCAGTAGATGCTTCTTTGCCTGTGAAGGGCCATCTCCATCCTATGTGTTTAGCAGCTCTACAAACTGAGATCCAAGTGATATTTCCGTGATCAGTCTTTGACAGGCAGCTCTTGCCACGTCTGAATTTTATTCCCGGGGCTTCCTCCCAGCATTATCCTGGCCTAGCTGTAATTTTCATTGCTATTCCAGGCACGAAATGTCTATAATTTTACAGCTACTCCCACTTTGTGGTTGGAGCGGAAGGGGTATACTTTACTTGGTCTCTGGAGGGTGAGGATGATGGTAATAGTGGTTCTGCTCAGATTTCAGGCACTGAGCCTGGAAAAAAAACCTCTTTCCTCTGGATATAGAAAGGACTTTAAAAAAAAAAGTTTAATCAGGGCTGGAAGGAGATGCCTGAATTGAGCAAACTCAAAGTGACTTCATTTCTCACCCCTCCCATCCCCTGCAGAGAGTTTGTTGCGCACCTCCAGCAGTCCAGAGAGCTTGCGCTCACGAGCTCCCATCCTTACTCCAGATCAAGACTCAGGCACCCGCCTCTGGCATCTGGTCAAGAACCATGAGCATCTCGGAGACCCCAAGGAAGGGGAGCGAGGGAGCAAGATGGTTTCTGAGATCTACCTCACCCGGCTCCTTGCCACCAAGGTATGGTTGGCAGAGAACTGGATCTCGGAGTCAGTAGACAGGTTTGGTCCTCACCTACACCACCCTACACCCTACATTCACTCTACAACCTGGAGTGGAGGCATTCAGTCAAGATATTCTAAGTTTAAATCAACCCTTTATTTTATTTATTTTGTTTATTAAATATCTGTGCTGCCTATCTCACTGATTCGGAGACTTTGGGGGACTTGCAATAGAATAAAAAAGTTAAACGGTGCTAAACAACAATTCAAATTAGAAAATTTGAATAGAAAAGTTAAAAGTTAAAAACCAAGGTGATGGGCGGCCTGAGGATGAGGTAAGAATCTTCTCTACCCTGTTAGCCACCCCCAAAATAGAAAGCTCCAGGGCCCCAGGCCAAGCAGCAGAGTCATGTTTTTAGGCTCTTCCACAAGGCCAGGAACGTGGGGGCAGACTTCATCTCCAACTGGGGAATATTCCAGAGAGCAGAGGCCACAGCAGAAAAGTCTCTTCTCCTGAACCCTGCCTGCCAAAATGTTTTGGTTGATTGATGTCTTTCTTTGGAAGATAAGGTATTGCACAGTTTCAGAAGGAGTCCTTTAATAGATGACCAAGAGATTTTTCAGCCTTTGTTGGCTCTATATCTCTTGCCTTCAACAAAACTTTGCTGAAGAGACATTTCTCCATTTTGCTGTTTCAGTTTTTGTTCAATCTTACCAAGTTCTTCACATAGATAGCCTGCCACTTCTGAACAGAACATTGTTAACGTACCTCTTGTCTAGCAACGGGAGCAGGAACATGGGTTCCCTTGCTTTGGACCCTCTGCTATTCTGCCACATTTTCAGTGCCTGCCAGCTGACATCTAAATAAAGTTTCAGGTGCTTTATTGACACTGTGGAACATCAGATCTGGCAAAAATCAAAGCTGTAAATTGCCAGGGAGTAAAGAAGAAAAGCAAGTATCATTTGAGGTCTGAATTGTAGTTGTGTATATTTGTGTTCTCTGTGCTTGATTTAATTACATTATCTGGAACTTTGTTGTAATATATTTTGGTAATATGTACTGATGCTATCAAGATCCTCACAGAGCAATCATTCCCATGGTACCTTGGGAGAAGCAGCAATAATTTACATGGATATGAAAGTGGCTTCTGTTGAAATGTAGATGCAATTTAAGCTTGTGGATTTCGAAGGGATTAATGTTATAATTCCAGATCATGACCATTTGATACAGATTTATAGTTAAACTCTAGTAACAGAGTACGAGAGGAGCTGGGAAAGAATATCTCAAACAGATCACTGACACTTGGTATTTTTCTGGGAAATATTGAGATTAAACTTATTCTCTGACAGCTGTTTACAGTACTTTTATTTTCTGTGGGATCCTAATACGGACCTTAGTTTTTGCAAAACTAATGATTGTCCCTTTGCATAATTTAGTCAACTATTTTATACACATTGATCTAGACCCTGTGTGTCAGTTTTCAGATCATGTGACATTCAGGAGGCAACTGAAAAATGAGCCAGTTTGGGCATCTAATGGAACTAATGGGTGACAAAATGTGCTTTTGACAATTGCAAGCTTGACTTTGCTAAAGCAGGTGTGTACATTTTTCTCCAAGGTTATGAAGATTTGAAATCTGGTAATGAAATTGCCATTTTCATGATCTGGAAGAACTCAGATAGATATTGTGAGCTGTCCAGAGTCATTTGCTGAGATGGACAGCTATAGAAATCAAATCAAATCAATCAATCAATCAGTATTTCTAGTTTCAAATCACAGTCAACCTCTATTCTGCCAGGTGTTCCACCCGTCAAGTTTAAGGGAGAATTTACCATTATTGATCAATTCTGTTGTTTTTGTTTGGTGGAGGTGAAGTTAGGAAATGCAGTTGGGATCTCCCCAGATTAACGTTCTTTCCAACCACCTCAAAAGATATATTGCAGAAGTATTTGTGTTTTCCAGGGCACATTGCAAAAGTTTGTTGATGACCTGTTTGAGACAGTGTTCAGCACAGCACACCGGGCCAGTGCCCTTCCCTTGCCCATCAAATACATGTTTGACTTCCTGGATGAACAAGCAGAGCGGAGACAGATTGGGGATGCTGATGTTCGACATACCTGGAAAAGCAACTGGTGAGATTTCTGCATTTTGATTTGTTGTCGACACATGCTATAGCTGAATTGTGAACCGCAGCTAGAAACCCACAGCCTAGCACGGCTGTGAGTTCCTATCAATCTGCCTAACCCAGAACTGAGCAGGAGTTTCCCAGCTTCCAACAAAACCAAAGGACTCCACTCTTCAAAAGCATTTAATGTAACAATGAAATTGAACATCAGCCTTTAATTCCCTTTCATTTTCTCTTCTTCTTGTGACAGATCATTTGGCTCAAGAGATGGCAGTTCTTCCAATATCAGTGTCTCATACCTCTTACCCCTTTCTCAATTCTAGTTTGCCCTTGAGGTTTTGGGTGAATGTCATCAAGAATCCACAATTTGTTTTTGATATTCACAAGAGCAGCATCACGGACGCTTGCCTCTCGGTTGTGGCCCAGACCTTCATGGACTCGTGCTCTACCTCTGAGCATCGCCTAGGCAAGGATTCCCCTTCGACAAAGCTATTATATGCCAAGGATATTCCTGTTTATAAAGGCTGGGTGGAAAGGTGAGGTGCTGGATAAAGGGGGGAAAATATGGATTATGATACTAGTTGGCAGATCACTTTCTCTTCTAGGAAATGGAAATTGCACCATCTCCAGATCATAGACTTCATATGCATTGCAAACTCCTGATTAACAAAACACAATTGCTCTGTTCATAGTATATGTTGAATCCATATCCTTAATTATTAATATGATGACCTAGTTCAGGCATGTCAAACTCGCAACGTCACGTTACTTTGCACCCCGGCAATGGGGTGGGCTCAGTTTCAGTGTGGCGCATCCGGCCTGCAGCCTGGCAGTTTGACATGCCTGATCTAGTTCATACAACATGCTAAAGCAACTGAAGGGTTTCCACAACATGGTGAAACATACACTGGCCAACTGCATTTAGCTTAGTCATCTGGTGTGAACTCAACAAGTATGGCTAACAAGGCCAATCCTGCTTGACTGAATCACTAAAAGGGGTGTGATATGTGGCCTCCTCTTCCTTTCATTACATAGAACAGGCATGTCAAACTGCCAGCCCACGGGCCAGATGCGTCATGCCTGGCATGCCTGACACAGAAGAAGGAAGGGGGCTCTCTTCAAGTAGCAATTAAGCCAGAGGGGCAGGAGAACCGAAGTGCTAGATTACCACAGGTAGTCTTTGACATACAGTAGTTGAGCCCAAAATTTACACTGCTAAGTGAGACAGTTAAGTGAGTTTTGCACCACTTTGCAACCTTTCTTGCCACTGTTGTTAAGTGAATCACTACAGTTGTTAAATTAGTAACATGGTGGTTAAGAGAAGCTGGCTTCCCCATTGACTTTGCTTGTCAGAAGATCGCAAAAGGTGATCACAGGAGCCCATGACACTGCAATCATCATAAACAAGTTGCCAAGCATCCAGATTTTGATCACAGACCATGAGGATGCTGCAATGGTCATAAGTATGAAAACTGGTCATAAGTCACCTTTTTTAGGGCTGTTGCAACTTCGAACAGTCACTAAATGAATGGTTGTAGTTTGAGGTCTGTACAGTTGGATTCATGTCTTGGCCCAGAGAATGGCTAGCAATATTACTGCATGCTAGTATCTTCAGTAGCTTGTTGATGATTCCTAGCTAATCCTTGATGATCTGTGTAAACTTGGGCCATTACAAGCAATCAAGTTAGTTTTTTCTAAGTTTGTACAGAATATTATCCTATTAAGCGTGAGAAATTTGTTTACGATATAAATTAATCCAAGGGACCCTTTCCCTAAGTGTCCAACTTTCCTTCAGCCATAGCTTTTGAGAATCAGTTGTATGGCTTCTTGCTGTTTTGAGGTAAGAAATATGAAGATTACTCTATATGCTGTAAAATGGGCAAAAAACCCCTCCAGACCTATCAACTGTTTTATGTGCTAATAGAAGGGAAGTCATATGAAAATCAGTTGATCCTTCCTCGTATATAAAACCCCTTTAGGTTCATATGTTTCCCCCCCCCCACTAATATCAGTTTTTTAGGAACTTGGGCCAGGTTTTTCCTTCATCACATGCTGCTAATTAAACTCTTCTGCATGCAAAGCTTGTCTTCTGCCAGTGAACTAGTAGTTACCCCATTTGTAGAGAATGAAGTTAGCCAGGCAGGAATCAACTATTCTCATGCTAGAAAGAACTGTTATGTCAGCACAGATCAGGTGCTTTCTGAGTCCATCAAGAGAAAGCCAAATATCTATTGACTCAGAAAAGTAGGTGCAAAAAAGCCTAGAGTTTAAATCTTGGAGTATTGATTTGTATAACCCTTAGAGTTATCTGTATATATGGCTTCAGTCTTGTCTGCAATAGAGATTAATCTTCCAGAGTCGTGTTTGGGAGCCTTCAACCAAATAAGCCAATTATAGAATAAGGAGTTATTTGTCTGGAGAGCCAGGATTTACAGCTATGGCTATCCGAAGCTTGACACTGTCCAGAAATTATAGCAAAAGAATTTATCCACTTAATCCATGATAAATCTGCCCAACTTTCCCTAATCTGGGCTGACCAATTTCCAAATTTCTCAACCAGTATAGACATTGATGAAATTTGAGAAGTCTTTCCACATATTGGGAGAATGTCATGATTCTGGAAAGTTAATTGATTAGGGTAAGGCACTGTTTTGGCATTCTTCCTTACCATTTTCCATTTAAGATGGGGAGGGAGTTGCCATATTAAAAATATACAGAATTCATTTCTTAGACTTATCTGGAAACAGTTGTAATGGCATACTGAAGATTGTGTTCAAAATTAAGGAATCATAGGAAAGAATGGGTTCATGTAGTACTTTCTACATTTTTTTAACATATAGCCCTCCCATTATCCAACTGTGCATGGTCAAAGCTGATGTCATCTAATATATATAGGGAGGGCTGAATGAAGATTGAATTGTTCAGATTATGGCACTTTAGTTCCTTGGCACTCTTTTTAATTGTTTTTCTGTCTTGTCATCCCAATGTTCCTGGCATTGTGGTGGCTCTCTCTGCCAGATACCAAATTTGGCATCTATGTCCCCTCCCCCTGCCACCTCAAGTTTGCATGCCAGACTAATTATTAAAATCAATGTTTATCCAAATACACCATTTATGCATTATTTGAGCTAAGTATTTCAGAAAGTGCAGCCGAGTGCCAAGGATGTCAGTTTGCTGAATTTGTATGCTGGCTTTGTATGCAAAGCAAAAATCAATTACAACAAATCAAGAGACCTAGAACTGCATTTTATTTATGTTTATAAGCAGTTCGTTTAGGATTGTGCTTGTTCTTTCCTCTACTGAGATCAGAGGGACAATTAGGCAGAGTCATCCACTATAACTGCCGGTATATGAAATCCTAAAACAATATTTGTCTCTGTGTTCTAGGTACTACCGGGACATCACCAAGATGGCTTCCATTAGTGACCAAGACATGGATGCCTACCTAGTAGAACAATCCCGTCAGCATGCAGGGGAATTTAACACATTGGGTGCACTGGGAGAGCTGTACAGCTATGTGGGAAGGTACCGAGATGAGGTGAGGCCATGGCTAGGTCACAACTTTTCCTTCCCCCTTCTGAACCCACACTTGTCCTCAGAGGAGTTATCAACTATACATCTCATGAGAATGGAGCCTCACTTGTACCTTACACGGCAGACAACGTGTTCAGTGGAGACAGGGTAGCATCTAATTAGACATGTTCTCAGCCAGCTCCTTCGGTAGCCTCTACTTTTGTTCAACTCCTGCAGCTCTCATAAAATTCGTCCTACGGTTCAATAGCCAAGGGGTGATTTACAGCATTGGAGAAGATATTGTGACAAATGGAGCCTTACCCTTTAATACCTGTGCCACCCTTCCATCCATTTCCCTCTTCTTTTTAGTTTCCCGCTCTATGTCTGTCACACTTTCACCTCTTGTAAATAGGTATGTCAGCTTTCAGAGGGAGGGCCCTGTTTTATAGACGGTTTAATCCTAAGGAGCAAAAAAAAAAACACCAAAAACTGTGAATCTATCCTAGGGAAGGAAGCCTCTCTTTTTCCAACACTCTTACTCAAGCCCAAAACTCCTCCTAATAAGTGAACAATCATGTTGCCAACCTTTTTTTTTTTCTTTAACCCCTTGCCGTTTAACATCCCTTTCCAATTTTACTGGATATTTCTCCATCCTGGTCCCTTGGTCTTATACCCCATTTTGCCCCTGGGAGTTTGGGCCTTAGCTCCTCCTGGTCTGTTTTTGCCTTTCTCCCTCTTCTGTTCCTCCCCTTGGACTGAACCTTTTGTTTCCAATCTCTCCCTGCCTTGCCCCCAGATCCTGACAGCGTTGGAACGGGATGCTGCCTGCCGGAAACACAAACTGAGGCTGAAGCTGGAGCAAGTCACCACTCTTGTTTCAGGAACAAGCTGAGGAAGCTGGAGGGGGCAGGAGGGCAAAGGGAGCGGGCAGCAGGCATCCAGGATAGGTGCCTCCAAAGGGACTCTACCTCCAACTTGGCTTGCGGCCCCACAAAGGGGAACAGACTTGACCTTTTTAACCTCCTAGGGGGCAAGAGACCTGTGACCTTTTCCCCTGGGGTGGCAGAAAGTCGCTGTGGTGCCTCCCCTCCCCAGCCTTCAGTCTGGAAGCAATAACAAGCACCCGCTCCTCTGACTTGGGAGGGGCCACCCAGAATAAGCAATGGGGTTGGGGTGCAGCCTGATCATGCCCCCTCCCCCTCAAGCTGGCAGCTAAATGGAAACCCCCTCACCCCAAATGTTTGTGGACCCCTCTCTTCAGTCATCCCGATCATCTCCCCAGTCCCCCACTCCTTGTTGGTAGCTGGTGGAATCTGCCCTTGTTCTGTTTTTGGTAACCATGGCAATTGGATATTTTTAATCTTACCTGACAGTGCTCTCCCCCCCTCCCAAACATTCACTCCTTCCCCACCTGTTGTGCCCTCACTGGGTGCAGTGCCTTACTCATTAATTTATTATTGCATCTTGTTAAGATTATTGGCTGTAAATGATTCCATTCCCTGGGTGTAGAGATTTCAGTGTAAAAAGTCCTTCATCCCCCCCACCCAACCCCCACCCCAACCTTTTTGTTCTTAGAGTCTGTGTAAATATTTGCACTGCAGCCTGGAGGGATTTGGTCCCCCCCCCTTTCCTCCCCAAAAATAAAATAAAATAAATTAAAAATAAGAATAAGAATCCCCCTTCAGGGACTATGGAATTGTGGTGGGGTGGGGAATGCCCCTGCAGAAGCATGGGCTTTTTATTAGTTCATTTTATAATTACTTTTTTCTTTTGCTAAATAAAAGCCTGGAAAAAATGCTCTTCTTGATATGATGTGGAGGGATTGGGGGAAATGCCAGAAAAGGGGTATTCCGTGGAAACAGGCCCCCATCCTCTTGCATTCCGGTGTTACAAGGAGATATTTTGGACATGCATCCCCATGTGCAGCCTTCTCACCATCTACAGTTATGGCTTTTCTTTCGAATTGCACCTAAAGTGTGGGAACAATGCCAGTTCATTTAGGCATTAAAAATGTTGCTTTTTTACAGTAAAATTCCAGCTGATCCATCTGCCCAAGTACGTAACCCTTTTTAGTCACTAAACAGGTTTGCTGCTACTAATTTGCTTGTATATATACTGTAGATCAAGAAGACGTATAACCTTAAATGCCCATTGTGGGCTGAGCCCGTTTGGGCTGTTTACTCACCCCTCTGTGTCTGCCAGAAACCTTAAGGAAACATATTGATCATGAATGGGTAACATGTCCATTACATAAGGGGGGGGGGAGCCTGTTTAACCTTGACTAGGCCAGGGAATTCCTCTGTTGAAGTGCTAGACTGGCCTCCAAATACCCAAATGAATTGGGGTGAGATGAGATGGACTCTTCCATTTCTGGGGATTGGTCAGCGGTGGAATTTACTAACATATTTCCATATATAAAACATCTTTCTATGAAAATGTAATATTAACACAGCAAGAAAAAAGTTCTTTCTTAGACAACTTCTATTTGCAAAGAGTTATTTTAAAAAGAGAGAGAGAAAACGGTTTTAAAAAGTGTTCATCTACCTCAAATCTGTTTTATCAGATCAGCTTTCCACCACTTGCTGGATCACATGGGACCAAGTTGCTTCCATTCTTGTATAGGGATTTGGTGTCCATCGTTCACTCTTTCTGTGGAGACCCAAACGATAAAAAAAATGCCAACCACATTTCAGTATATTCCTATATTGCCTCCCCACTTTTTAAAGACATTTTAGTTGCTGGTTTTGTTTTGTTAAAAAAATGTGATTGCCTTAGCAGCCTATCTAATCTGTGAACTGATAAAGTGGTGTTAAAGTTTTTCATGCTTTTGTGCCTTTAATTAGCAGTCTCCCTTTAGAGCTTCTGCTCCTTGTTTCAGTGTGGGGATAACATTAGTGAACAATAGCAATAATTTATTCCCTGAAAGAGGGTAAGTCATGGTTGACTTCTCTGCCTCTCCTTATTTTCACTTATAGTGTAGTAGTAGTAGTAGTAATAGTATAACAATAACAATAATAATAACAATAATAATAATAATAATAATAATAATAATAATAATAATAATAATAATAATAATAATAATAATAATTCATTAAACCTCCCCCCAACATTAATGTATAGATAAAATGCCACGGTCCCTGCAGCAGTTGGAACATGGAGCAGAAACTGCCAGGAGGAAACTTCTAATTAAAGCTGTAGAAACTAGGGTTGTGAGAGAACATAGTACAGTACTAAATTAGATGTGCTATGGAACCACTATTTTAATTTCAGTTTCATGTGCTGCAAGACAAAACAAAAACTTTTAGTAGCACTAGGGAGGTCAAGTGTGAAAACCATCCAAGTTATTTCACTTACATAGAAATGTAGCTCTGCCTAATGCTTCCTTTCACCTCTTACCACAGATGTTTGTGTGCTTCCATATGTACTTCCTTGCTGCTTCAGTGTCCGTTGAATTAAAAGTTACCTATTGCTGCTGGGGTGCCATTGCTTCTGTTGTTCAGTTGTTCTGAGACAGTTATCCTGCTAATTAATTATCCAGACATTTCCTTAATGTTAAGTCCTCTTAAACCTTTTGGGAATCAGCACTGCTAGTTGATTGGTAGCATGCCTTCTTACTTTGTCTAAGGGCAATATTTGAGCACCAAAAGAAAAGGCAATTTATTCTGGGCCCAACTAACTGTGACTACTAGGCAAGAATACTTACCGATAGATAACCTTAGTTAACTAACAACTCTTCTATATGCTTCATATCAAATATTTGATTACCTATCCCAGTATTCCCAGAAATCAGAGTCAGGGCAGTTGTGAAGTTGTAGCATCTGTGTAGAAGGTTGAGAGCAAAGCTGTAGCCTTGTTTCAAATGAAATGTGACAGAAAGGAATATCACGTTTTACCTTGACAGTCTGTATAAGCACACTACATCTGCTTATACAAACAGGGACCAAAAAATTGTACAGATAATTGTCAACTCTTGAAATAAAATGTTATGAGGAGGTGCAGGAGCTGCAGGAGAGGAAGCACTTGAGGCACAGCATGGTATGGCACAGGGAGGATGCACAAGGGTGCATGTCAGTGCAAGGGAGGGACAGTGCAAGGGAGTGCACGAGAGCATAGATCAGCTTGGAGAAAGTGTGCAAGGAGGTTCATGACAGGGACAGTGTGAACAGTGGAATTAAGGGCCAGTAAGTAGACCAGCTCTTTAATAAAGTCCTCTCTGGATAAGGAGAGGACTTGAGACTGTCCACAAGTGCTCCAGACAGCTGGAAACCCTAAGACAGTGATTCTGGGGGATTTAGAGCTCTGGGAGATTGAACGGAATCAAACCTTCTGAGATGGTATAGGACTAGGTTCTCCTGCTTGAGCAAGGGGTTGGACTAGAAGACCTCCAAGGTCCTTTCCAAATTCTACTCTACTCTACTCTACTCTACTTTATTCAATGGCATATACTGTGAGGGTAGATTTTTTTTTAAGAAATGGGAGAAAACTATTTTTGTCTGGTTCCTCCCTTCTCCTACTCCAATCGGTTGGCAACCTGTGTTACTCAAAGAGCTTTTTCTGGCGCAGCTGCTGCTCTCTATTCTTCTGTTTGCTATTACAAAACTCTACTGTAGACAGACCAGCAGCAAGTGTATGAAAATCTACATACTTTGTTGCTTCTTACTCTGATTTTTCCCTACTTCTCCCTAGCCACAGCACAAATAATGCCCTGACAATATTTTCCCCCTTGCCACCCCCCCCCCAGATTTGTTACTATATAACTGTTGTCTTCACTTCATCCCTAACTCATCAATGAAACAGGCTGAAGGCATTCTTAGGCGTACCTGTGCTAAAATAAATTATGATCCAGACATCCTCCAGGTGCAAAATCTTTTAGGATTTGTCACCTGATGATTTGGAGTAAAGTTGGGATTGGCAGGAATATGAAACACAGACAAGATTAAGGTAGGGGAGAATAATTTCCTGCTGACTCAGGGAAGGGAGTACTTCAAATCAACAGTGCCCAGTAGTGTTGGTAAAGAGGCTAACAATCACCTAACCTGCACGAAAAGGTGGGAGTGTGCATCATTTTAAGTCACGTGTTTAGCATATCCTTTCTGGATTTGGAGCCCTCCAGCTTCATTTGATTATAGCCCCCATCACTTGGAAGACACCAGTCTGGGAACTGCTGCTATAGAACTTGGTTCAGTGCCTCTGGAGCTATTAGCAATTGAGGCCTTCCTTCTAGGAAAAGGGAAGAGTTGGGCGCAGTTCTTTCTTCATTATTATTTTTTAAAACCGGTACTGAGGATGAGGGCCCAGGGATTGTGCTGAAGAATGCATTGTGGGAACGAACAAACAAGCAGCACCCAAGAAGGTGACTGTAGGGGAGACAGAAATGAGATAAAAGGAAATTGTTGGTGGCAGTTTATGAATAAGTCATGGATGCATCAGGAGCCTCATTAGCAGAAACTCCAGGGTAAAGGGAAAAGTATCATTCTGCCTTGTAGCAGAATTACAGCATTTTGAACTCGGGTATAATGTGAACATGAGGAAAGAAGGGATATAAAGTCTCTAGAGGGCCTATGCTGTAGAACATGCCTTCTCAAATGTATACTGCATAGGCAGGTATGTAATTGTCAGTCATCTTTGTTCACAAAAGGAGTGAAAACTTGTGCACTCCAGGGATTACTTATATTCAGAATACTCCTTTTTTGTGTATGTTATGATGAGTCATTTGTTCCCATTTTTGTTTTGCTTTTTTATCCTAGCGGCACGTTATGTTTTCAACCTGATGTTGGATTGGGCTACATCCGTGCAGGATGGGTAGAAGAAACAAAAAGGACCATCAAGCAGAGACATAGGGGTGGGTTGAAAGCATTCCAAACTACCCACCTAAACACCCTCTCCTGCCAGGGAAACAGCATTCTTGGCTGCATTGTGCAATTGCAATAGCACTTATATACCACTCCACAATGCTTTATAGCACGGGTCCCCAACCTGTGGGCCGCAGCCCAGTAGTGGGCCTTGGCCTGCTGGCCACTGGGCTGCAAGACAGGCTGGCCAGTGCACGCACGTGTGCGCGCACATACCCCCACTCACGCTAGCGCCGTGACTCCGGGGTGCAAAAACAGGATGCCGCACCACAGGGTGCAAAAATGGGCCACCGCCGTGCCTCGGGGTACGAAAATGTGTTGCCACCGCATTATGCAGCATGAAAATGGGCCACCACCCAACCTCGGGATGCAAAAACGGGATGCCACCATGCCTCGGGGCGTGGAAATGGGGCACTGTACCGCGCAGGAACCGGGCAGGGGTAGCAAATATCACGCGGGTGCTAGTCCCGCCCCATTTGTGGCGTGCATGTTCATGGCACATGTAAAATGCTTCCCCCTCCCTTTCCCTCTGGTCCGCCAACTGAGAAAGGTTGGTGACCTCTGCTTTACAGCACTCTCTAAGCAGTTTACAAAGTCAACATATTGACCCCAACAATATAGGTCTTCATTTTACTGACCTTGGAAGGATGGTAGGCGGAGTCAACCTTGAGCTCCATTAGAATTGAACTCCAGACTGTGGGCAGAGTTAGCCTATAATACTGCATTCTAACCTCTGCACCACCAGGGCTGTAATAGTGCTCATTGTCATAGTTTCTTCCTTCATTCCCAATGACCCATTGGGAAATGTGGTTTGCCTGCTACTATAATTAGGGAAACAACAATCTTGTTAGAAACATTGGAGGAGGGAAGAAGGAGAAACTTTGAAGATTGTGCTAGATTAAAGAGGATGCTAAGAGATTTTAGGCTGCATTATCTTCCCAAAACTGATTGGTTGTCAACAGTGGTAGTAAATTGATGGCAGGAGGGAGCAGTTGGTGAAGAGTTATAGATACCTTAGGTGGGCCATGGAAAAGCCATCAAGAGATACATGCAGCTGGTAAGCCATTCATCTATAGTCGAAGGCCAGAATGAAGTTTTTCAGGCTGTTCCAAATTTTACATGTCATGTCAAGTCAAAATCCATAATCTGTAGACAGGGCAAGGCCTATAGTTTTAGGGAGAAAGGGAGTTTGAGGTCTAAGCAAAATGAAGGCTGCCCTATGTATCTGCAAGACTTTTTCCTCTTTTTTTAAATAGCTTTATTAAATTTTTCAAAGTAAAAAATAAAGGACTAACAAAAAATAATGATCAAGAAAGGAAATGGAGAGGACAGAATAGAGAGAAAAAGAGAAAATAGAGGTGCAGCAAAATTTTAAAAATATAAAAAAACAAAGAGATACAAAAATGCCTTCCAGCTTCTTTTACAGCAGATAGAAATTAAAGTTTAAGTTCAGCTCCTACTCAAAAATTACAACTTAACATCCATTTTTATCGCCTCTGAAAATTGCTAATCAAATCCGTATGTCATAATTTCGTGTTTTTACATTTTCTGCAAAAAGTCCAAAAGAGGATTCCAATTGGTTATAAATTTAGTCGAATGTCTTTTCTCTAATTAAAGCAGTCTATTTCACCATCTCAGCCAACTCCATCAGCTTTAACAGCTACTCTTTCATTGCAGGGTATTATCAAATCTTTTCAACTTTGAGCATACATAGGCTTTTCTACCATTATAATAATAGGAACAAGGTATCGTGCAATTTTTCCAAGTTTTCGTCTGAATTGCATATTGGCCTCAAGT